CCCAACTGTCTCCAGTAACAGCAAATTAAACAGTGTATAAATAACCTGTATCCCACCACCACCAGCTTTCACTGATCCCAAGAGGTGTTCGCACTGGAAAGGAAAGAAACAAAACTGGAAGTGAACAGTATTTACTTTCTTCAGAAACTGGTAATACAGTGAATGAGCCTAGAAGGAAAAAGGTTTAACAGAAAAGAAGTCCATTAAAAGCTTGTAATTGGTAGAGCTGGTTCAGAGAAACCTACTGAGAATTTTAAGGGCTAAGGTACAACACATCTCCTATTTCCCCTCTTTCTGTGGCACTCTGGACCATGACATAGGAACTAACCTTTCTATCATAGGCTCCTTCTATCCCTTCTGTGTGCCCCAGGAAAAGGCACAACTGTCCAGTAAGAGCAGCCAAACTCTCCAGCAAAAGTAGTACAGATGGATTAAACTGTTTGGCTTTCTGCTTCCTGTTTATAGTGTCAGGTTCCAGACAGTGGTTATTAATTAATCAGAGGTCAGTTACGTGCTGAGACCAATCATTCCTCCTAATAAGCATCTGTTTTAAACAAAAGCAAGCCAACCCCAAAACTAGTTTAAACAAACAGTGATTCCTCTGGGATGTTTCTGTATTCGGCTCGGTGACAGCGTGAACTGCAGAGACACGAGGACTACCACCTAGCGCGAAGTGCCTGGGGTGAGCACTGAATTAGCTTGCTGCACTTTGGGATATATCAGAGCACAGAAGAATATCTTGAAGTGATCTCAGACAATAGCTTTGGGGGAAGCACATTCAGCAAATAAACATTAGGAATGTCCCTGACTGTAACCTTCAGTACTATTTTAACAACAAAGATTGCTTTGTGGCATAGGCAGGGAAAGACCCAGAGCCTTACTTACATTGCCTGCTACCTTCCAGCGTCACTTTGTGTTGGCTACTGATACAACTCTTCAAGGATTTTGAAGCCTCTGTATCCCACAGATTCATCAGTTTTGAAATGCAGGGTCAGACAGCTGCTGCTGGAGAACATGCTAAAAGATTTTCCTGGCCAAATAAGTTTGCTGGTGGGGGGAAGAAAAAAAATGCTGCAGTTGTAGTCGTTGCCAAGCAGTTTGAGACACAGCCCCTGTAGTTATTACTAGGGACAGACGTTTTAATCCAAACCACTTAATACTCAAAGATACTAGTGGATGACAAGAGTTCTCTGAGGTCTTTCAAGAAGTACATCTCTAGTGGCCTATGTAATATCACTCTCTATCCAGGCTGAAGAGGTGAAGCCTAATGCAATGGTCAAATTGTTCTCACGGTCTGTAGAAGTGCCTCTCTCATACTTGAGTGAGATTATTTCAATAACTGGTTCTCTTGTCTACATACGTGGGAGGAGGAAGGCGGGGGGGCAATAAGGGAACTAGGAAGGCATGAAGCCATTCCAGTGAATTTTTCTGTACCCAAAGATCCTGATGTCTGTATGGCACAAGGCGGCTTTGGTACTCGCAGCAGCAACATCTGCTCAAACTATTCAAGACACAGAGCAAGACAAGTACCGAGATACAAAGGGTTAAGGAAAAAAGGGTTTAAAAGAAGGCTTGATAGAAGAATCCTCTTGGATACAGGTATGATGCTGGAAGTCACGAGCTGCTGAGTCCAGGACATTTCTACCAAAGAAGCCCTGGGTGACAAGAGCTGCTCTGCACAGCTCTCAGGAAGCCTCCTGCCACTTGTCCCTGCTGTGCAGGCACAAATCAGTGTTGCTCCCCTCCCTGCCTCCCACACCTCACAACTGAAGAGAATTCAGTCACCTTCTTTTAATAAAAGGGGTCAGAGGAGGAAGATAGTCAACAAATATGTAGCTCAGCCTACCCAGAAGCCTTGAAGAGATATATGATCCAGCGTAAACACTCAAATGATCCCAAATGCAATCCCTTGCATCCTCAGTTACAAAATCTTTAAGCACAGCCTTCAGCTTATTTCCTGAAATAGAATAAGTTATTCAAGTGCAGTTCCACATGTGGGGGTGAATGCCAGGGTAATTGGGAGATGTTATTTCAGTGGGTCCAACTAGAATTAGATCAAAGCCTGGGCATTCTTAAATGAAAAAGGTAAAAAAAGTCATATCACAAAGAAAAATCTGTTTCTGCATGGATTTGCTTAAGCAGGCCTATTAATATTAGAGAAAGCAGAGATCTTAATGTTGGGTTTTAAGTTCTGCTGGTTAAAGTGAAAATTTGCATGGCTTCAAAGCACAAGTTCTACATGCCCTTTACACAGAGAACTGTTCAACCAGGAAAAGGGCTACGGATATGGGAAACTACTTGAGCTCTGAAGAGTGATCCAGAGGCCAGACACTGACACCCTACGTACAGGATCACTTGGAGTAACCTTTCCTAATCGGCCAAATTCAAACTTAAAAATTCACTAGCCATTTCTAAAGTGTTCATATGGATGTTTCTTTCACGTTGCATTTATAGTTGTCACAGAACTGATCAAAATGCAGAATGCCTTTATTGTAGGCATGCTAACATTTTATTACATGTTTTTGTGTAATAGTCTGCATGATTTTTATCAGTTCCATAAATAAAACTGGCTACCATGACAGTTTACTGGGGTGAAAGGAGAACAGGGATGACAGCCTACTTCTTGGGGTGATGAGAGAGAACAGACTGAGCCTGCTGGAAACATGAATGGTGAAGAAACTTGATGAAGCTTTTAAACTTCCACCTTGAGGGTCTTTCTGGCTGAAGAGCTGGGAACACACTTCACACAGGCTGGTGAACCTGGCTAAAGTTCAAGTCCTAATACAAAGTGCAGAGAAAGGTTCAAGGATCTTGGATACAATGGATTTGAGATTACTGGATTTAGGTAAGGTTTGGGGGTTTTTGGTGGGGTTTGGTTTTGTTTTATTTTTTTTCTCCTTCAACTAGCCATGCATTTCTCCAAATATACATCGCAGCTCTGGCAGGAACAGCAAGTGAATACAGCAGAACAGAAATGTGCTGAATGAAGAAAGTACATTTAGTACTGACATGGCTAATGTTGCTGGTGAGAGTCTCATCCATCAAATGTTCACACTTGCTGGTGACGGAGGTTAACTCCCAAGCCACAAATACAGAATGTGCATAAAAGGAGGTGGGGGCACATTTTGTTTTGTTTTGTCTTAAATAGGATTTTTACTCCTTCCCTCTCACCAGCTTTATGGAAAGTTAAAACCAGTCTTACCTTCGTCAGCAGCATGGAGGTTGATGGGAGATTTCTCTTTTGCCGAGGATCTCTGTGGAAACAGCATCACAGGCTGGGGAGGGGAGACTGAGCCAAGAGGAGGTTTGAGGCTGTGGGTCAGTGGAAAAAGCACGTCCTGATTTTCAGAGCTAGGGCTTGGAGCACATCTTGGAAAGGTGTGTGTGCACATGAAAAAGCGGACAGATCTCTGTTGATGGTGCTGTAAGTCTGATGAATTTTAGTATGAGAAATGTAATTGCTGTGATCTACTTCTGAAGCCTGACACACCTGGCTGGTATGTGGACAAGCAGACGTGCTTCATTCACACAGCAGTGAGGAGCATAGGTCAGACAGGAGAAAGGGGGATGGGGGAAGGAGATTAGGTATGGCTCAAGTCACTAGAAATGCAAAATGGTTTGTTTCCACAAAAACTGAAATGTCAGACTGGCCAAATCTCTCCAGCTCCAAGTTTCTTTGATCTGAGGCATCAAAGTACTAATTTCCTTAATGGTGCCAGGGCAGTGCTATTCATAGAGAAAACTGTCCACCCATGTCACCAGCTGAACCCCAGCCTGGGAAGCAAGAAAGTGAGAGAAGTTTCCTTTGATCTTTAAGCTTAGAGCCCAATTAACTGTGTAGCTCCGTGGGCATGTGACAGAGGTGAGGTTTGGGCGGTGCTGCTGTTACCACTGTTCCCCCAACAGCAGTATTGCCTACTAGGTGAAGAAGCAGAAGAGAGATTATAGAAGTAATAATAGGCCGACCATGTGGACATGGAATTCTGGTTTTGCAGAGCAGAATGGAAAGGGACATGTAGAGAGCAACAGCTAATTAGTATCTCATTTTTACAGTTTTATGGTGGGAATGAGCACAGTAATTGGATCACTACTTATGCATTAAAACATCAGCGCTCAAGATCACTAATAGATCTCTTATTCTTAATGGTCATTTATCTTCAGAACAGATAGATTTTTTTTTTTTTTTTTTTAATATAATAGCCCTATTTTAGGCTCTGCTTCTCCACCCCCTCCCCAGAATCATGCTAGGCTTACCACATGATGTTTCCTGAGTAGAGTACGTCAAGAGAAAGCCTTTCATGGATGCCTCAGCCTTGGAAAGGAAGGTCACTGCCACCACTGGACTTCAAGATTTTATGGGATAGCGGGAAGCATAACTGCAGAAGTTGTCTGCAAAATAGACCAGAATGGGAGGTGAGCTTTCCACTTTCCCTTTTTTCTCTTGAGGGCTGTAAGGCATAGTCTTTCAGAATGCAGTGTCAGAAGAGATTTCCATTTCCAGAAGACTCTCAACGCAAAATCCTGATGTCATTCAGCTTTGAATTAATGTGTTAGACTACAGACATGGCCAGAAGATAACTTGCTATAGCTGTAATCAGAATGGGGGCCTTCTTCAAACAGACAAATAGTTAAAGACAACCATTATAACTACTACAGATCACTAGTGGCAAGTGCCCACTGCCTGGAGTACTCTTGGTCAGAAGAAATCCCTGCTCTGACAAGCAGCCCACACCTCTGGCTCCTTTGAGCAAGACACTATGCAATGCTCACAGGACTGCAGGACACCCATATTCTCCGAGGAGTGAGTCACTCTGAGAGTCTCATGTAACTGAGACCTGGCACTGAAGAACCTTGTATCCATAAGTGCTTTAATAGTTTAATTTTCCCGTCTATGCTTTCTCATCCACATAGAGAAGATACTTGCACCGCTTCACTTCCCCAGCAATATCCTACATAATCAAGCCAACATTTCCTTAGTCAGAGTGCTTAGGTACCTCCCCTCACTTAGCAGGGCAGTAGGAAAAGCTTCCCTGCCCTTGGCCCCACTGCATTGACCCGCTGCCTTGTCTTTGGCACGCAGCTTCGGACACACACAGCAAGTTGTCACACTGCAAGTTCAAGCCTGGGAAAGAGCAACATAGACAGACTCACATTGTTCCGAGGCACAGCCATGTCACGATTAGGACCTCATGTCCTACACGTCTAATTGCAAAAGTATTTCTAGAAAGGGAAAGATACTGAGCTAGCTGAAGTAGCTCCAAGTATTATCAGAAATCCCTCCTGGAACATGGAAGTGTGCCATGTAAAACTCCCTTGTCTGTCTGCAAAATAAACTTAGTTCAGTTCCTCTGTTTCTCTCACCCCAGCATTAAGGTGAGCTTTCTCTCACCTATTAACTCTTTGGTTAGTCCAAATTCTTTATACACCATCAGTTGACCATGACAATTAGACAAATTTCTTTCAGTCCAGAAGTTCAGAACTTCAAGCTGAATAATAGATTTTAATGGGGCTACAATTCTCCAGTGGCAGCTGCAGCACAAGGCAAAGAACAAAGTCACAATGCTGGCATATTTTACAATTGGCTCTTTTTTCCTAGGGATAGCTATCAAAATGTGAGCAAAGGGAAAAGGGATTGTAATGCCCATTAAAAAGAGAAAAGAAAAAAAAAAAAATCAAAGATGGGATACTGGTCCAAATCTATTTTGGTCATATTATTCATGACTTCTCAAGGTAAGCTTTCAAATAGTTTAGAAGTCTATGCTATTGCCATGTGAATGGAAAGTTATCTCTTACCCTAACTAAGCACGGTGAGGGAGGAAGAAAAGGAAATAGATGAAAGCACCAAAAGATTTTTAGTGACATAGTTTATCACTGCCATTGTTAACCCCTCAGTTACACCTCTGACATGCTTTATGATGAGAGCTTTGCCCAGAGGTGTCAGATTTGTCTGCTGTTTGCTGGAAAGAAGGTACTGGTACCCCCCATCTTTCCTAACCCTCTGAGGAACTTGCCCAGTTTTCTAACATGCACTGAAGTACCTGTGGATTCATTAAAAAACCACATCACATATGTTTTCAGGTTTTCATGTAGGAGTTACAAAAACCAGAACAACTCAGGTACTCACCTGGTGGCATTTGCATCTCTCATGGGGTTTCCCAGTGTCTGGATCATTCCTTCCCAATCTATAAGAATGACATCCATGCATCGTGAAAACTGTGCTCATCTCCTTGGGAATTTTTGAGGCATTGCCAGGTTTTTGTCCTGGAAATAATAAGAGTGTAGAGCATTAAATTCAGCTTTAATATTGTTTTAAATGGTCTTTTCACCATGAACTAGGGCAATTACTGTATGACATGTCATCCCCACGGAAAAGCATGGATCATGGGCAAGAGCCAATCTGAAGAGTAGAAACTTGAGATACTCATTTTAAAAGTTCATCTGGAAGAAGATGTGTTCAATTAGAAGACAAACCAATTAGAAAAGCTACTACATTCCTATTCTACCAGGCCAGACATTGTTCATCATAATCCTACAAAACTCACCCTCACTTTAGCCTTGTTTCAGGCTTCAGCATTTTTCATATCAGTCAGTTTTATCCAGGCTAGAGCTTCAGAGAGCTCTGGTTTTTCGTATGTTTGGAGAAGTTCTGTATGTAAAGTCTCCAGAAAGCCCATAAAGGCATCTCGAAAAGAAGTACATTCTTGAAGCTTCAGTGAAACAGGTAAATTCATCTTTAGATAGAAGTGGTTGTACAGCTTGACTGTACCTTGGACTCTGAGCATCAAATATTCAATTCTGAAAGCAGCAGGGTCAATGGAGCAGAGCACCATCTTTACCACAGGTCCAGACCTCTGGAGAGCCACAGGAGACTGCATGGTACCATATAGCACAGCTTGAAGCAAATTCAAGCACACCACCACCATTTGAGAAACGTAGTCAAAAATCATAGAGAGGTTTGGGTCAGAAGGGACCTTAAAGATCATCCAGTTCCACCCCCTGGCCACAGGCAGGGACACCTTCCACCAGCCCAGGTTTCTCAAAGCCCCGTCCAACCTGGACTTGAGCCCTTCCAGGGAGGGGGCAGCCACAGCTTCTCTGGGCACCCTGGGCCAGTGCCTCCCCACCCTCACAGGGAAGAAAAAAAGTCACACAAGTTACTCTGTGGAAAGGCAGAAGAGTGAGGAACTACTCAGATTTGAGAGATGTTCAGTGCCGGTAATGTGGCTGCTAGGCAGTCACCTCCTGACGAGGCAGCAGGCAGCACCTCCGGTCCCTGTCCTGCAAGAAGTTCTCCACTGCCGGCCAGCAAGGACTTGCTCACTTCATTGCACAGTATCAGCTGCCCCAAGTCTAATTACAAGGCGAGGTATTTTGTTTGCTTTATCTGCCTTGAAAAATTGCTATGCTACTTAAGGGTTCGTTCTTGGACTTAACTGAAAGTGGGATGGGACAGGAAAGTTTTGTCATTACACCATTTCCACCGATAGTTACTTTCAGTTGTTAAGCATGCTAAATTGTTTTCTGGTTACTTTCTGGCTCAGAATTTTCCAGCTTCTTTCTCCCCTGTCATACCATCATCCTAAAGTCCTAGCTCATGCTGACATTAAAGCCCAAGTCTATGTTTTAGAGTCCTCAGGAAAAGTAATTTGGTTTAGAGGCAGGCACCCACTGACTTTTGCTGTTCACTGGCTCTAGAGAAGGAGGGGATAAAAGAGAAAACATGCTGTTTCAATATGTTGGCATATAAAGAGACATAGGAATCTAGTTTAATATACCCAACCTTGAAAAACTGCCAGCCATAACAAATGCTATTACATAGCAGCGAGTCTGTGTGCTGGAGGACACTCCAGGGAGCTATCTATTAGACTCCTGTTCAGGGAAAAGTTTGACTGATGGCCCCATTTCTGATAGTATTTTCCTCTGTCCTGTATATAAATAGTTATGATAGTTAAGCTGTTATTCTCAACTGTAACAGACATACTTTTAGAATTTTTCTGTGTGCTTTTATAAATGAATTCTTGGAGGAAGATAGCTGTGGAGTGCTGTAAGAACTCCTTAGCACATCCTCTATCCTTCTCTCCTGTCCTTTCACTCTCAACTCAGAGTTAACTGACATACTAAACTTTAAATTTGGAGTGTGGTTTTTTTTTTTTTTCTTAATGCAAAAAATATTTCTAGCATATTTAATTACCCTAAAAACCTTTGTCCGGAAGCATTACTACTGTATTTGGTAACAAATGGTTGTTCTTGTTCAAGTGTCAGGAAAAAACAGATTATCTCACTCATGTTAGAGCTATGATGATCATGCAGATAGCCCTCATCTACACCCAGATAGAAGTTAAATAAGGCCTCTTCTCTAGAGCATGAGCCATCACGACTTGTGTGATGTAAGAGGATGAGGGTCTACATAGAATAGCTATTAGCCAAAAAGTTTCTCCAGAGGCATCACTTAATTTTGAAAGCATTTGGTGAACACATACACTAGAATTCATCCACAGGACTCCCAAAGGCTGATGGTGGATTTCTCCACCACACTTTGTCTACCAGGGTATCAGTGTGGATACTTACTTAGGATGAATGCTTCTGTATATAACATCTGTAACATCATTCTATAACATCTGTAATCATAATAAATTAAAACTATACAGAGGTAGAATAAAGGGAGGTGAGGGAGGGAAAGAAGAAAAACAAAACAAAACAAAACAAAACACATTGAAGAGCTGGGGAGGGGTGCTGAGAGAAGGAACATCACATGTCAGGGATCCTTCAGCACACCCAGTAAAACCTCTGCAAGATCTATCGTTCAAGAGTTTTCCCCCCACTCCTTTCCTACTACTTCCCCCCCTTCCCTTTTCTATTTTGTGCCAAGTTCCAGTTAATTCCTTTTGCTTTCAAGTCGCTGTCTGAGACTTCCCTTTGATGTCCCTACCCTTACCTTGCAAAAATTAGTGACTAAGCATTCCTTACTCACCTTTCTGTGCAATTCATAGCAGTTTATGACGCCATTGCACTTCTCCATTATCTTTTCCAGCCTGTTGATACTATTTAGTCTCACCTCATAGAGAGCCAGACCAACCCCTGGATACCTGTCATGCTCCTCTGTACTTCTAAATCCTTTTCAGAATGACTGTGTGCAGGAGGGGGAAGAAGTAAATCAAACCCCCATACAGTATTTAAAAAAATCGGTTCCTCAGGTTTGTACAGTAAAGCATATTTTATTCTTTACCCCTTCATGTATTGACACCTTGTTTTGTATTTTTTATGGCTACAAATCTGCTCCAGTGATCCTACAGTATTTCAGTGATAGTAGCTAAATTAAAACCCATCACTTGTGCACATAAAGGCATGGACATTCTCCCTTCTGCCCCAAGACTTCAACACAATTAAGGTAGAAATTGATTTTCTTTATATACAAAAATGTTTATATACTATGCATCTTGTACAGCAGACAAGAAAGCAGGCATTTGACTTGCCTTTTTAAACAGATGTAGATGTTACTACTCTGCATCTTATCTCTTCCACTTTTTGCCCCTTCCTCCTTTTCCCCCACTCTGCGTACAGAGCCTTTAAAACAGGAACCAAAAAGCATTTCCTCCATGCATTTTGAAATGGAGGTACCTTGATATGTTCCTGCCACACTGCGCTTCCAACTAGATTTTTACTTAACTGCACAGTGTGCAGTACAGATGCAGACATATAGGCCTCTAGAAACTTAAAATTTCCAGTAAACAGTACTAAATCTCTTTCATCTTAATTTAGTTTTCTTTTAAAGCTGTGGATTGTGTTCATCTACATTAGTGTCTCAGTGGCTGAATTGTGCCTCAGCGGGGTCAAGATGAGGAAGACCAGAGTCTTCTGCAGAGAAGATAATACATTTTCTGTTATAAAGAGTCACTCCCTTCTTTCCCAGATGCTAATGCTTCAGTGTCATTCATACCACCCCCAAGAGGCAAATAATATGTACCATCATTGCATCTCATGTCATTGTCCCAGAAGTTTTGGAGGAAGGGGAGGTGACTTTGAAAAAGAAGCTGCCAATACACAAGTCATTTCTATAGACAAGTGTCCGTAAGGGCTTGCCCAAATACCACAGTTTATTTCGATATAGTCTCTTTTACCATTCTCTAGTGTACTAAGAGGGCTGTTCTTCTACTGGGTCAATGCAGCACACTGACACAGGGATTAAGGTCTTCAGCCATATTTACAGCCCGGTCTCTGAAGCTTAACTTAAGGCTGCCACACATTGGAGACATGTAAATGGGGCTGGAAACCCTTTCTGAAACTGGCCCAAGTTGAGGTGAGAAATTTCTAGGACTGAGTGTCCTCAGATGGATCGTTTGTTGTTACCTAGCACTTTTCTTCCTCTCTGTCTCTCTTCATAAATCCCAAGAAACTCCTCTTGGCAGTTCAGCAATGATGTTATTGACAGATGCTTTACTATAATCTTTGCCATGCCCTTTGGAGACAGTCAGAGTATCCAAGAGCGCTCTGTGCTTTCCACATATCCTGATGAGGAAGGGGCAGAGATAAACCCCCAGGGCTCTCCTAACTCCACTTCTGACGCACATTCTATGGATAAATGTGCACTTCAGTGATAAAAGCATTAAGAAAGGACAATAAGAGCTTTCTGCAAAACCTGCCAGTTTTGCCCATGATTGAAGATAGTCTAGCAGGTCAATAAAGTGAGTGGGAAATGGTTTTCTAATGTTGAGGGTTTTTTTTTTGTTTTGTTTTGTTTTGTTGTTTTGTTTTGTTGTTTCCCCTTTGCCCCCAGTATTACTGGACTTGCTGGAAGCCTGAGTATCCTGATATCACTGGCAAAAGCTCAACTACTACAGCCTTTGGAAAGGCCAAAATGAATGGATCTGATAAAAATCTTAACCCTACATAGGGCATATATATATATATATATACACACACACACACATACATATTTTTAAAACCCTTTCCCATCAGTTGGATCATTTCTTAGGGTCCAGCATGCAGGCTGGTACAAGCCTGCAGGAGTTCTCAAAGTGCACATGGTCACAAGGCAGTCCTGTCATCTTAGTCTGGTCTTAGAGACCCAGACAGCAGACACAAACTAGGCAGCGTAAAGGAGTGAGCTGTCAGGCTTTAGAGGAAAGCAGACTTTCTTGCAAATTTGCTCTGAGCTGTTCTTTGAATCAATGCCTAGGAAACAGATAAATAGGCACCAGGTTAGTCATGTACCTGGGATAACAGGCCTACCCACCTCAAATACGGAGTCACTAAGGAAGAACAAATGTAATTTATTTTTTTAATTGACGCTGTGACCAGCCCTTCATGAGAGTTATGAAATTATACTTTTGTCCACACACTCTCTGGTTGTCCAGAAACACGGGAAGAAAGCAGGCTTAGCCTGTAGCTGCATGCACACACAGTGCAGTCAAATTCAACACTCGTTAAATATAAAACCAAATCAACAGGGAAATATTTGGAAGCATCTGAGTAGTTATAACAGAGCAGGAGGAGAGAGAACAAGATCACTAATGACAACTGTATATCCCTTTAGTACCAAGGATAATAGGGTTTTTTGCCTCCCAAGGAAGCAGTTTTTGAAGTCATACCCTCTGTAGAGCAGCTTAAATTCTGTTTAAGCGTGCTTCCTCCCACACCAATGTTTATGAGCTTTCTGCTCAGATTGGATGCTGAGGCCACGCCATGTCTCTGTGTACCTGCACGGGATGCTGAGAGTGCAGAGCGGGGAGAGCTGAGCCCTTCCCGCTGGGTAGAAATCCTTCAGAAGGGAGAGGAAGAACATTTGCTTCCTGAGGAAGGTGCTGTGGTGTGAAGAGCACTGCACAGCAGAGCTTGTCAGAGGGCACACACAGGGCAGCGTGACCCACCGTGGAAGAGAGCTTCGCCAAGCTGAGTTATGGGGAGGGTACCCTTCCTCCAGGAGAGCTGGCCTTAAAAAAAAAAACAACACACCTCAAACCTCTTCTACCACAAGTCTAGGTTGAAAAGCAACGAGTTAATCACACAGCTTCCCACAAGGGCAAGACAAGGGCATTTGCACATACTCAGCACTGCAGGAGGACGCGGGCCCTGTGTTTGCAGCGGTGGAGAGCAGGGAACGGCAGTGCAGGCATGGGTACAGGGGTCTGGAAGGGGGTAAAACCCTACAGGATGCGCCACAAATTTCATTTTAAAAATCATTTGTTGCGTTTAGGGTGACACCCTGGTTCGGGTGATTACAGCACCACGCGCCTGCCGTGACTTTGAGCTCACCCAGCAATGAGCAGCTCAGAGACAAGCCTGCTCCAGTGCAAACAAGGGCCTTGCGTGCATTTCCAGCCCCTGCTAACCAGTCCTGGAGCTTCTGTGCTAATGATGCCCCCCCCAAACCCTCCATCACTGGCAGGGCTGTGCTTTCCCAAGGAGAGAAAGCAGCCCCACCTCCTGTTGCTTATCACTTCAGGGGAACCTATTTTTATCTCAGTGGTGTGATGACTTGGAGCGCCAGCAAGGATGCCAATGGGAAGAGGAGGAAAGCACACACTGCATGCCAACACCCTGGCTACAGCACAAGTCTGCAAGCAGAGCCGGTAGCACGTCCCCTCCTGAACAGTTTGCTTTTTAAAGCCGTGAGCAACAGCATTCTCCAATTTGTTGCCAGGGCTAGTTTCTGTCAGTAACTCAGGGGTATTTTAGCCTTTTCATCAGTCTTCCTCCAACACTGTCACAGCATCAGATGTGGAGAAACATTTAAACGCTTAATAGGCGGGAGGAGGTACATCAGTAGGACAGGGCTGTTTGCTGTGCTTTAAAAGCACCAGCAAGCTGATGTAGTGCCTCACCCAGAAGCACAGCTCTGGTTATGCTAAGTAGATTCATAAGAGATTAAGTAACTGTCCTTGCCCTGAGAAACTCAGTCGAAAACATGGGTGATAAAAAACAAACAAACAAACAAAAAAACCCCCAAACAAATAAAACCCCCCAATATCTCATTCAAGAATAGTAAGGGAGAGATAGAGCAGATTAAGCAACTTGACCCAGGCGCACAGGAAAGCTGCAACATCAGTGTTAATGGACCCCTGTATCCAGCATGCGAGCCCACTGCTTCTACCTACAATAGAGTCTTTCTTCCCTTGGTTCTGCTCACCAGCCTCCCTTCCCTCTCCCTGTGTGCAGACACACACTCTTCCCAGGACAAAATCCCAAGAGCTGTGTCCACTTGCACGGCGATGTTAGGAGACTCAAACTTCTTACCGGGCCCTAACAGGACCTGCTCCTAAACTGACCCAGCTCCACCACCTTCTGCACGCCAAGCACTGCAGCCTCCGGCACGCCACGGCTCCGCGGTTACCCCACGTCCACGCCTGCCCCGCTAGCTTTCGCTGGCCGCTCCTGCGCCGAGGTCTCTGGTTGAAACAAAAAGGGGCCCAAACAGTAGGCCTCAAACCAAAGTTGACTTCTGAGTGAATTCCCCGACCAGCAACCAGCATCTTATCAGCAGACTGAAGCAACCAGTATCTTATCAGCATGAAAATGCAACCCTGGGAACAATCCCTGGGAACTATAAGTAAACAATAGGACGTAACTATAAATCCCAAATGTAAAGAAAAACAGAAACTCCTCAGACGTGCCCGGATCCTGGCCAGATCCGGACATGCCTGACTGAGGCATATCAATCTACCAGCTATCTCCTGTGCGTTTTGTTTAGACTTGTTTGTTAAACTGTATAAAAGCTGGACCCTCTCACAGCGAAGATGGAGACTCACGTACGAGTGGACACACTGAGTGGGACTTCCCAATTGCCGGGAAAGGCTCTGCGACCCTTCGCTGTGACGGGGCTCCCCAGCTGATGCACGGGTCGGGGTGATGTTCAAGTAGGAGGGCAATTGGTGATGGATCTTTCTTAATCACTATAGCTAGCTTTAAATAGTAATGTCTAGGTGCATTACCTTGCTTATTCTTTCTGCTGCTTTAAACGAAAGTAAAATAAGCCTATTTCTTTCGCTTGGTGTCTGTGTCCTTTGTGTTAACCCCGTCAATTGGCAAAACACTGGTGCACTGCCTCTTCCCTGCAGCACGCTCTGATCAGCGCAGGCAGAGAGGCACAGCGTGCTTAGAGACAGTTCGGTACAAAACTCAGGAACGGTCAGCACGGCCAAGCGCTTCCCGCAATAGGAAGGCGATCACAGGGAGGTCGGATGAAGGAGCCAATGGTCACTATCTGGTTCAAAGAGCCCTCAAGGCCTTTAACATTTTGTATGAAGCCATGTGTAAAAGCTGTCAACAATGCTACGGCCTCCACCTCTGGGAAAGGTTTACAGCTACAGAGCTGAGCAATTCCCTGCATAAAGTGCCCAGCCCACAGTAAATCCACGAAAGCCATTACAGCCTTCAGAGAGTCAGCGGTCAGCAGCCAGTTGTGTCAGATCCAAGGGTATGGAAGTTCTCCAGCCAGCTCCCAGCTTATCTGTGGGGACGGTCTGGCTACCATACAAGTGGTGACTTGTTTTGTTAACTGGTTTTAGTCTAGAAGAAAGTTCTCCCTTAGTCAGCACCTGCACTAATATTTCTGTTAGGTCAGTGTGGGACTATGAATGACACAAGGGAGGAAGACTGGCAGCTGCAGCACAAAGCAGGAGAGTCCAAGTGGTCATCTGACCTGAGTGAAGCATTATCCACAAAGTGCTCTTTTCTTTGATACATACTTTAATTTCCTGCTCATAACTGCAGCACACTTTATTCGGGATACAGAAAAAAATATAATTATTTCTCTTAGCAGAAGTCCTCTGTTTTTTTGCTGGAAGCAATAGAATAAAATACAGGATGGGCAGAAACATGGAAACTCTGTCCAGAATTAGCTCTTTCCTCTTTCTCAAGAAATGCTGTGGGACAATCATAGCCATTCACTAAATGGAGAATTACATACTTGGCTGTACATGTGCACATGCAGGGAAGGAGGAGGGATAAAGATCTGGAAGACAAATGTTTTGCATCAGCAGTTTCCCAGTGCAACTACTTTGAGCCAAAGTGAAACATTTCTTTAGAATGACAAATCAGTTTAACATGGAAAAGAGACTTGAAGCTATCTGGTGCCTCTTTGAAATCTCTCAAATCCCATCAGATTAAACAAGATAAAGTGGTGGATTCCTCCATTTTCCAATGAAACTATGAAGCCAAATTCAACTTGACTTGATGAGCCTCAGCAGGAAAGAAACTTCTGAGAAAGAAGGGCGTGAGTTGGTGCAAAAAAGCAGTATGACAATGCTGGGTTCACGTGGAATTCCTCAAATAGGTTTGCTCCCCTCACTTCTCTGCACGAGAGACCCCAGTACAGGAACAGGGGCCTCTCTCTTTTGTGAGATACCCATTACTTTCAGGTGATCGGTCCTTATTCACTAGTAGATGTTAGTCTCTCTCTAGCACTTTCTGTGGAGAAATTTATCCTGAAGACTTCTGTATGTGGTGTTCGTTATAGATAGAAACGCACACACACAATTTTGGTTTACAGCATTGTCCCAAACTCCTCTGCCCAAAGTGTGGGGCTGGTAGGCATTTACACAGGCATTGACTTTTTACTGAGAAAAGTATCCATCCAAAGGTTATATTCAATTTGAGAGCCAGAGGTGTTAAATACAAGTCTTGCGATTCTGAAACTCCCATTTTAATTTCCAGTAAGCTTTGTTTAGGGGGAAGGCATGAGGAAGAGAAGGAAGTAGAGACTTTCTGGAGGAAATCACGTATATTTTTTTTTTTTCCCTCCTTCCTCTTAAGTTGTCTCAAAAACTCTACTAGACAAAACCTCAATGCACTTGGGATATTTTATTATAAAGGGGTTATATTCAGAATTCATTTCACTTAGACAAAGAAAACTCACCTTCCATCAGCATTCTTAACCAGTCCAAGAAAATCCTCACCCTTGAATAGACCCCTGATTTCTTTGGGCTGGCATAGCCAATATCCCAGCTGACAATGCCATAAAAAGTAAATGGTCCATTTTCCTTGTTGGAAACCAAGGGGCCACCAGAGTCACCCTAGGAACCAAGAGAGAGAGGACTCACAGTTCTCTCATTTGGCCTCCACACTGCTGCAACTCAGAAGAGAGCTGACTGATCAGATTTGCCCAAGAAAAAGCTTCTGTGCAAGAAGAGGGCACGCAGCTGCTAGTGCATCTCAGCCCTAGCCTGGAATGAAGAGACTGATTTAAAGGCTTGCTTATCAGCGTGAAGACTGAGCACAGGCTGCAGACAAAATATGATTGAATAGTGCTCTTTAGTGTTACACATAATTTATTAGTCTGTCATAAGATTGCAGAGTCCGCAGTTTAACTTGACAGTGCCTCAGTCAGAATTACTTTGCCTTTTATTTACTTGGCTGTTCTTACCTACTTGCCTTGTGATTTCAGGGAGATTAGTTAGTTCTGGAACAGTGCTCTGAATACAAGAATTTTATAAAAACAACAGAAGTCATCATAGTTTATCTTGACAAAAATGTGCCCTGAAAAAGAGTTCCAAGCAAGACACAACGGGAAGTGTTTCACTGGGATAAGAGATGGGTCTCAGGCAGTGCAAGGGAAGCACATCCTCTCCTCCACAGGCCTCATAAAAATTACAGTCCAGAGAAAGATTATTAAACTCTGTGTTCCCAATTGCAATCAACAGTGCACATTGCTTATATCTCCCATATGGATTGACTGCATCTGTTGCTCTTATAAGTACTGTCCACTCCATGGACAGCAAATTATTGGAGCTTTTAACGGTCACTTCCTATATGCTGTTCTCCCCTGTCCTCCCCAGTCCCTTCCCCCAGAGCTATCGACATCCATCTACAGACACCTTCAAGAGCACTTACCTTTCATTTTACTTCTCTTGACAGGAGTCCTGGCCTCCCACAGAAACAAAGCCAGCAAAAAGAATCCTAGATGTGATCCTTCCAGGGTGACTGAAGTAGTAATTTCCCTCACAGATTTCATTCTCAAGCACTGGCATTTGTGTTTCTGCAACCACCTAGCTCAGCACCCATCTGCTTGGGAAATAAATTTGAGGTTAGGTCTGGGCAGAAGAATAAAACGTGAAATTGAAATGCATGTTCTGCTCATAGTAGGCAAACACGCAGAATCAGAAGAGCCACCTTCTTCGATGATCCTCCATCCAGATACAGAGAAGAGGAAAATGATGTCTCTGTGCTGTTGGACAGACGCACTGGCCTCAGCAGCCTTGACTCCGGAGGGATGTCTGGCTGCACCAGGGCAATGTCAGAGTCATAGCTCAGCATGTCAAAGTGGGAGTGCACTGTGATGATTTTCACCTGTCTCACCTCTGACCAGGGCAGAGAAAGAACAAGCTGCCCTCCAAGTGCATCCTGAAACCATACTTGTAAAAGAAGAGGGCAAAAATCCCACAAGCAATGACCAAGCTCAAAACAGGTCATGAATAGAAACGAACAAGGTACAAGGACTTTGAAGAGAAAATGCCAACTTCTGTTTTCCAGTTGAGAAGATTGCTGAGATGGGTTATATAGACCTCCTGATCCTAGAGTGAAGGCTGATTGCTTCACTGCACAAACACAAGCCACTGAGGTTTTGCAGAAGACTAGTGTTCATCACCTGTGCTTCTTTTCTACATGTATTTCTTCCTCCTCCCCATTAGAAATAAAGAGTCAGTAAGCTTTTTATAGACAGATATATTGCTCAGTACCAAGCGAGTAAGATGCTGAGGACAGTCAGTCATCTCTGTTAGACTTTAAGGCTTTTTACTGCTAGTAATAAGATCCAGATATAAAACATACTTCTATAAACTGCAAGTTAGCTGAATGAGACCAGAGTTACTGGAATTCCTTTCTCATTCCTTAACCTGTGCTACATATCAGTCATTTTGCTTTGCTGTCAACACTGTTTTATCTGTGCATATAGATCTGTTTTGAGAAATATTGTAGGGGCAAATTCACCAAAGTAAAAATTTTTAAGGGTATAGCTTGGTTTTTACCTGTTCTGTTGACTCCCTCAGGGCTCTGTCATGGTCTCCTACTGTCACAGTCCAGTGCAAGGGTTTATTTGATCTGTATAATAAAAGCAAACATATTGGAGCTCTTTACAGTCATCCATACAGTTTCCTTATTCAGCAGTCATACCTCCCTTCTGGCTCTTCTCTAATTAGTCACTTATTCCCAGGACTGCTGAGCAAGAGCTTCACACCACGACAAATATGTTGCATCAGTTCTGGCTTGCTACAGCTCTGATAGAAGATAGTCCAATTAACTTTAATGGATCTCCTACAAGCAAGACCAAACTGTTGCCATCTCTGAAATCAGTGATTATGGAGAAAGGGCAGAAGGAAGGTTTCATACAGGACAAGAAGGTATGAATGTCATTTATAGCTCTCCAGCTGTTTGCATCCCAGCCTGGAGGAGCAAGGGGAGTGCACAGCATGGGGAGAGGAGCAGAGGTGGCCTGGGGACATACTGGTCACACTCACAGCTGCACACAGTGGGTGGCTGTCACCAGCCACATAGGGCTGATGACAGCCTCATCACACTAGTATTCTCCAAGAAGCTTCAAGGCAGCATGCCATGGCCAGCAGTGAGGACAGGCCTCCTCAGCCCCACTAGCATGCTTGAACATCCACTGGGGAGTAACTGGGGGAAGCCACAGGTATCTGCAAGAAAGCCAGAAAAATAGTCATGCTTTCACAGGCAAGTTTGTTGTTTTCCTAGATAATCTCACACAGTGGATATACCAAGGCCAAAAGTGCAGAAGAGACCAAATTTGCCTGGAAGTGGTGGGGGAAGGAAAAACAGATATATGAAAGCTTAAATCCTAAGGAGGTGAGCACTTCAGAGATCAAATGAGGCTCTGGCACTGAAAGCGGGTCTCTCCTGTCCTCTACCCTGTGTCCCCACTCCCAGTGGGAAGTGCATGCAACCAGAATGGAGAGGACATACCACACGTATGGAGAATGAGAGGTGGGGCACCTGCCTATCACTTTTCATCCGTGCAAGCAGTGCACAAAAGGGGACCTGAGGTCAGAAAACATCTGCCTCACTGCATAATCCTCTTACATGATAGAGGAAAGCTCCTCAGACCAGATCAACTGAGCAGAATTTAATTTCTTTACCTAGGGGCACATCCTTCAGAGGTAACATCGGTGCAGTAGTTAGTCCTGAATCTTCTCTTCCTTCCTCCTCTGCAAGAAAGGAAATAAGTGTTAGCTCCAACCTGGGTCAATAGCTCTGGCTTGTCCCCTTAAAAAAAAGTCCCCACTCTGGAAGGGAAAAGTTATTCATCCCCTCAAGCAGCAGTTGGCACACATTCATGAAAGCAGAAAGCAACAATAGCAGACTAGCCCCCAGAATCAAGACTCTCCTCGATAATGAGATTTTCAAGGGGAATATCAGACTGACAGAATTAGGAAGGCTGCTTGTTTCAGGTTACAGAAGTTAGTCATCTCATTTCTCAGTGAGGCAAAAAAAAAAAAAAAAAAACCCACCTAACTTAATTTACCTCCTTTATTCAGGGAAGGCAGCTCTGTCACAAGTAGATATTCTGTTTTAAAGTTACCTTGACAGAATGCAGCAGGATTAGCCTAAAAAATAAGCTCAGGTGTCTAAGAATAGCTGTAGATGATGCGGATATTGTTAGACACAGCAGGCATCTCTCTACTAACCTGAACAAAAAAAAAGTGAGCCAGGCTTTGAACCCTCTCTCCTCATCATTTCCAAAATGTACTAGTATGGCATTCCCTGGACTAAGCACTGGTCTGGGATTTGAGAATCCACAGAGATTAGCTGTGGGAATGAACAAGAAGCTGTATTTCTAAGATGAAAAATGTCATCCTGTAAGCACTTGTGGCTTGAGCTAATCTAGGTTTCTTAAAAAAACCCGAAACACTAGAGTCTTGCTAATTTTCTGATTAAAACAAGAACTTCTGCAGAAGAGGTGCCTGCAATGCAATGTTAATCAGTGACATCAGTGAGAAATAGCAGCCAGAATTAATTTACTACATTTATGCTTACAGGTACACAAAAGTAATCCTGATTTTCTCATTGTGGAATTACAAGTAACCTTCAACAGATACTGTGACTGTCCTCCATTGCACAAAAAACCCCACACTTGAGAACTGTATTTGCCACCACTGAGGGGTTACAAGCAAAGTCTCTCTTGAATGGTCTGTGTGTACAGGTTGAGGACCTAAAGAACAGCTGCTAGACTTCTCCCTGTTGAGAGGACTCAGTTTACGTAGCATCTGGAAGTCCCATAATTGCAGCTGGATAGGAAGCTTGCACTTTATTCCAAAAGATCTTTCCTGTAAGAATCTGAATTTCCGATGGCAAAGCTGTGCTGGAAAGCATTGAGTGAAATGCTCCGGGATGCTGACAGCTCTCCCCTGAAAGATTCCAGATCCAGATTTGTCAGACTTCTTCCTCCCCTTAAATACTCCTTTCCAATGGAAGCCAGATTTATTTTCAAGGGAACTGTAGCGTTAATACTTATTCAGCATTTGGTAAACACATGCAACTAAATTACCACCACAAAATAGATGGGGAAAAAAATAGAAGCAGTTTGCCAAAGATCAATTGTCAATGGTGAACCCAGGTTCAAGCCTCTTACCCAGTTTATTTGGCATAAAGAAAAGAGCATGAACCCCTCATCACTTTAGTCCATCTTTTGGTTGACATACAGGCCTGTAAAGGGGTAGCCAGAATTCAACTCAAATATCTTCACTTCCGAGCACCAGATTGTTTTTCACCTTAAGAATAGATATCAAGCTCTGCTAAAACACCAGGGGTGTCCAAGTAGGAGGAACATCTGGAAATACATATGTTCAAAAAAATAAAAAAAAAAAGGAAAGTTAAGAACATTTATTCTACTAAAGATTTTTATATTGATAAAACTGAAGCAATTTAAAGCAAGGAATTAAAAAATATTTCCTTCTGAAAGTGTGGGAAAGCAATGCCTCAGGTTAGCAATTTTTCATTAATGAAATTCCAACAGAAATAGTTCAATTCATAAAGAATTCATATCCATTTCAGTGGAATTAGACACCCATCAATGACTGCTCTTTTGCTCTGCCTTACTTTGAGCATTTGTCTTCTTTAGGAACACTTAGATCAAAGTTGCTCTTACTCTCTCCTTTGATAGAGAGATGCAGAGGGGAGGCCTGATCCAGCAGCACACTTACAGCCAAGTATGTAATTCTCCATTCTAGAAACCTAGATTTCAGAGGGATCTGAGCATCTCTTGATGAGTGCATCACATTTTGCATCAAAACAGTCTGCTGGAAGCCTTGGCCTCACCGCTCCCACCTGTACAGGGCTACAGACAGGTCTGCAGAGGATGGAGCTGACCTAAGCTTTGCCTTAAGGGATTTCAACCGTCATCTTTACTGCAACACTCAATGCCTTGTACTTTTAAAGGATCAATGTCCCATATGGAGTGCCCTTCAAAGAGCTTTTCCTTCAGGCATGAAGAGTGTGTGATTCTACATTTGTTTATTTTGGTTTTAATCCAGACTGCAAGTTCTCACACCAACAGAGCAGCGGCAATCCAAGCAAGAGGTCTGCATATGCTCAAGCATCCCTAGATTTAACAGTGTTTTTCCACTCATCATGGGCTGGGATGAGCTCCGTGGGATGCTTGCCACACACAAGCAGCAAAAGGCAATAAAAATAAAGAGAGATGATGGTACTATGAGTGGGAACTATTATCAGACAGCCCATGCACAATGAGAAGCAAACACCTTGGTATGGGGCTAAGGAGTAGCTTGGGGATTTTGACACTGCCTTGAGGAAAAAGCTGACTATATTCTTTGCAGCATGATCTCTACCCCTAAATGTCTGTGCTAGACTTCAAGATAAAGCTGTCTTGAGATGAGATTGGAACCTACAGACTTCAAGCACCTACAACAGTCACAGCCCCTCCATACATGAGTTCGAAGGTGATGTCTAACTGACAAAATATGTCCTGCAAAGAATCAGTGACCTGGAAACCTTACAATTTACAGTCTTGCGAGTCACAGATGTTTCTGGCAGGATTTTATTGAATTGCTCCCCTGAACAGTTTTTAGTGCAGAGGTTTAAGTGCAGTTTCTCCTTTTATTACCTTTACGGCATACTCTGCTGGACCCTCAATGAGCCAGTGGCACTTTGTGTTCCTGGGACACAAGCCAGGCTAATTAGCAGTATCAATCTTCCCCTCTTCCACTAACATTGTGACACTCCCACAGCCCAAGTCTGAAATACTCAGATGAGAAAGGAGACAATTTAACAGATGGGATTGTACCATACTGTTAATAAACCCAAATCAACAACTTGATTTTTAAGGAACCCAGGCACACTAAGGATAGTTGTTATTTTAAGGGGGTCAGGAAGGACGGGAGTTTCTACAGCACTGGCAAGGTCACCTGCTTCAGTGTCCTTATGGATGGCCGACAAGGTGACCTCAAATCTGACACCAGCGCTGCTCCCGTCAGAAATAATCGTAACAAGAGCCTGGTCCGACTCTGCCAGCAGAAGGGCTGGGAAGACCTCCCTGCTGGCTTTACCTGAGGGAGGCACGGAGTCAGTTTAAGGGTGGGCTGAACATACATTTATTCAGGCAAATCTTGTAGTGGTTTGTTAGGCTAGATCCCCTGGGGGAGGTCTCGTCTCACACTGAGTGGAAAGGCTATTTGGCTTTCATTACTTATAAAAGATTTAGGGGTGGTGCAGAGAAATTGAGGAGATAGGATTTCATCCTAAACAACCACATGAACAACCAAATATTCCTAGAAGAAGAATTGCATGACTGAGGATTAATATTATTACCAACACATCACCATTGGTACTAAGTTAGAGTGCAGAGGCAGCCAGTGTTTGCAGGAAATAGTTATTCTCTACCAGTTCAGCATTAAGTGCACCTTACAGAGGGACAACAGGCCACATTTCTTTCTCTCATCTGTACAGCTACCTAGTAATCTGCATGTTTGTTGTGCCATATAACCAGTTTTGAAGCAAGGACAGCCTTTGAGCTGTGTCTCCAACACACGTGACACTCGCAGGCTATGCTAACACTTCGGAAACTCGTCTGGACACCCACCAGCTAAGCAAGACTAAGCACTCATTTTATTCTGCTACGCAGGGTCTGTAGGAGTAAAACAAGCATATTGGAGACAAGGCAGAGGGGGCACAGAATTATGTACAGCTGAGAGACCTTTTTGAGACACCCATTGCGCTGCACTAAATGCCAGCACAAATATGAACGTGTCCCTCAGTCCCACCTACCCTGCTCTGTTTGGGTGTTGTCCCTGGCTCTTCAGGTTCATAGTGCAAAACACAAAAGGCTTCTCAAAAGCCAGCTAGATTTGCTGTTCTTCATGACAGTGAATGACAGGAAATTATACCCAGTAACCCTTAGTCCTCCAAAGCACCCAGACTTACTGATCAGCTCTCTTCCATTCAAATAGATGGACACAGTCATGGTCACGTCCAACTCGGATACTCTACATGCAATTTGCTGAAATGCATCAAGATGATTTTATCCTCTGTCACTGTTTTATTCCAGGTGCACAGGCTAGAAGCCAGCAATAATAAAGGCATGTATCTGCATGGCTGAGCTCAGCCCTCCTCAGTCCTACCACGGGCTGGGAGTCTCCAGCATCTGCTTTCCTGCAAGCGCGCACCAGAAGCTGACAGCTGATGGCACCAGCTCCACCTGGTAAATTTTATCATCTTCCCCCTTGGCATAAGCCACCAAGGAAGAGAGTTAACAACAGCAGAAGACTGCTGTGAATTTGCTCAGCACTAGGTGGGGACTGACGCTTCCTTACCGCAGCGATAGCTTTGTGCTGTGCAACTGACACTGCCAGCCCGGTCCATCTCCTTCCCCTGCGCCTGCAGGAGCTGAAAGCTTCTTTGTGTGAGCTGACATCGATGCGGCCAGACCAAAGGATAAGGGGTACAATAAAGTGTACAACAAATCTCTAGCCAGCCGCAGCCATTTCATGAGTGTGGCTCGTACAGAATCTGTATTACAAATAGACTTTGTGTCTTCCTGACTTCCCTTGCAGCGTTATCCCACCCAGCAAGTGTAGCTGGGGATTTTCATTTCAGGGAACACACAGCCGCTGTCATCCAGACACGGCTGGGAGTGGTGCTCAGGGATTCTGAGCCCTGGGAAACATTTTGGTGGGTGCCCTGAGAAAAATTCAGTGTTTGGCTACCACAGACAAACTACAGCTACCTGTTGTCAGGGTAATTATCCTCCAGAGCCTGAGGGCACTGAATGTAGCCGATTTCTCCGAAGAGAGGGACACCTTGGGAATTGCACTCCACGGGTGCAAGGGGAGGGATTGGCACAGCAGCTAGGGAGGGAAAAGGGTTTTATGGGGGATTGTAGTACAGGCACTATTGGTCAAGGCCCAGACTACAGCACTGCAGTTGTTTCAAACACAAAATGCTTGACATGCAGCTGAGACAAGCCTCAGATGAGAGCACACAGTTTCTTTCCCAAAGTCCTACTTAAAAATCCTCAAACTTCCAGGAGTTGTCCCACCGATACAGTGGGCTCACATGCATTCTGCCTGCTACGAGCTGACACGGCTACTCCAAGCTCATTTTTAACGAAGCACTGCTTTTGTGTTGGCCTCCCCTTCATCTTCTATGGACATTTGGTCTGCGTGAATCCTGATAGCTCTGCTTTGTACAGGGTAATGCACCCACTTTGTAGCCACGTGGCTTCTGCTCCTTGCAGTTACTGCTCCCAATTAAGAGGCACCTTCTTAGCTGCAGACAGTTCCCCTTTGAAAGCATAATCATTAAGGATCCCTAGCAAAGCAAAGTAGTTAATACCAACACCTCAACTTTGATGGCTATAACAGAAATAACACCACCTATTTAATAACTTGTATTAGCTCTCTAATCATCTGTACAGAAAAATACAAGTGGCTGGTGGGGAGTCACTAGACCTGTGCTCAGCTATAAAAGGCACTTCTGATAAGCCACTAAAACTGCGGCACTTGATACAGTGCCCCTCTTCTCCTACGCATTCAAAGTTGTATTTGATGAAGGAGATAACCCCCGATCAATCCTGCACACTGTTTCAGGAGCACAACAGCAGTTCAGCTCTTGAGCTGGCAAGAGCTCAAAGCAGGCTTTTATTAGAGCGGGGCTGGTATGCAGCGCTCGAGGGACACCTCGCCAAGCTGGAAGGGCTGCATTCAGCCAGAAAGGGGGCAGCTGGAGTAGCCTTCTGCTTTTCCTTCAGGAGATGTAGGGGTCAGACCTGCTATTAGAATAGGGTTTCTGAAGGGGGACTTAGCTGTTTAAACCTTTGGTTTTGCCATCACAAATTAAAAGATAATATACCTTGCTGTTGATGCAGCAGCTGGAAATGAAACAGAAGTTCGCGGGGGGGAGGGAGGCATCAACAGCAGGATAATTATGGATCCCTATGGTGCTGAACAGATTGGAGAGGAAAAAAAAACAACCTCCCAGTTACTCATACCTACCTGGCGTCATGTGCTGGGAAATTAAGTCCACGCAGCCACCTGGGAGAAGATGCCTGGCGAGCCCCGGGTCATGGTGCTTCTCTTAAGGGTATCCCATCCTCTGGCACAACCGACCCCTCAGGACACCAGACCAGCCAGGGTCCAGGTGCTGCTGGTCCTCAGACATGCAAGGGGGTCTCCAGAGTCACCCTGTCCAAACCCCGTTGGGGACAAAAGGTGCCATCTACTCCTGTGCCAGCAGCCCCGATCTTTGATGGTGTTGCATGACAGGCTGGCTTTACTGCAGAAGCCAACACAACCTTGCTAGCTCCTCCCCAGTCACGGGGGCCTGGCACCATCCCTGCTCATTCAGTGCTCTTGTTTAATCTAAAACGCACCGATCTAAGATCTGTTGTTTCACTCCCCTGATTTGACTTGCAGTTTGGCAACCTGCCTTTCCCCATACACAAGCCCCTTTTTTCCTCATGACAAATGTGAAAACGAAAGCCATTTCACCAACATCAGCTGCAGCACTGCTTTGAAAACGTTCACACAAGGTATGAAAGAGGGCAGGAAGCTCCCAAAGCTACTGCTTGGTCAAAAAAACATTAAAGTGAGTACACCTCAAGGAGACTAGTGACAGCCTGGTCAGCAGCCTTCCCTAGGGCAGGGCGAGACTGGCTCCACTCACACTGTTGGGTCCAGCAGAGAAGAGTCTAGCACTGAGCAAACTCTTCCATTGCAGCCCATTGCCCAGTGGGACTGCCCGAGTGAAGGTATCAGAAGGCTTGAGTGTGGCTAAGGGGGCATCAAGGGGGAGGTAGGAACTGTCTTCTTTCCAGCCTCCTGGTAGTGTTGGCCGTGCCAGGGTCCCTTGCCCAGCGCCTGGAGTCCCACCACTGAAGGTCCCCCTTGGTTTCAGGAGAGGTGGTGGCACTTGCATGTGGAGATGGAGGTCCTGCTGTTAGCAGTGTCCAGGGCAGGTCTAGGCAAAGGGGCAATCCTGCTTCAGTCTCCTGCCCGAATCCATATTCCCACCCGCAAAAGACTTCTCCTGCCTTTGTTATCCCAGAATCAACTTGTAAAGGCCCCTGCTCAGCAAATTGCTGACAGCACCCTCAGTGCTGTTGCTTCCCTTTCTCCCCAGGAGGGAAGGAGGTTTGCAGGTGGACAGCACAAGCCTGCTGCTCAGCAGGAGCCAGGACAGACAAGCAGTTACCTTGCACACTTTTCCTCCTGCTGTCCGGAGAGCCAGGTCACAGCATGGGGCCCCGCACCAGCGGTAGGTTCATGCCCACAGCAGCGTGCTGCAGTTCTGGCTGTTGGTGAGGGGCAGCTCCATCTCCTGCGGGAGGAGAGCCAGTGCCCTAGCCACTACAGGAGCAGCCAGGCCACCTCTGGCATTTGCAAGACAGCTTGCCCCTCTAGCCAAACGACAGCCCAGAGCCCTGTCACCTGGGAGCCCATCCACCCCTTCCCCAACACACCATCAAGAGTGGCTGGGGGCTCCCACACCAGCTGCGTGCCTGGGGCAGTGATGTTTTGAAGCATTTTGGGATCATCGAGCAGAGGCATCCAGCTAGACAGGTAATGCATTGTTTCTTTCCTAGCCAGTGCTTCAAAACGGGGCTGGAACAAGTCATTCCCTTGCAGGTTGGACAAGAGGCATTGCTTTCTCCTCCTGAGCACCCTACTACAAGGGTTGGAGACTTTCAGTGTCCGGGACAAATCCCAGAGCAAGCTGCTAATGTGAGAGACCAGCCCTGGCTGGGAGACAGTATGCACTCTCCTGGGAGGTTTGCTGGGGTCGAGGGACAGGCAAGTCTCCTCTGTCTCCTTTACCGTGGATGAGCCCCAAACCACTGGGGATGTAAAAATAAAAAGTAACATTCACAGACATCCCCATCTCCTTTAAAATCTACCAGACCTCAAGCAAGTGCAATTCCCTTGAAGGAACAGTTTCCTGATACCTAGAGGAGAGTATAAAAGAGTATACATTTTTACAGACAAGGGAACTATCCCCACCTTCGTAACAACTTGTAAGGGAGGCTCTGCTGGCAAGAGGCTCTGATACTCACACATGAATATGCATGGCAGCACTGCATAAGGCAACCTTCCTTAATGTGCCCCAAGGTCCCATGCCACAGGAAAGTGCTGATCCGCATATCCCTACAGGGCCTGGTCCTCTGACAAGCAGAGGAGATCTGATGAGCAAAGGGGTACTCAAATTTTTCATCTGGCAGGAGTCACCTTCTCTTGCATTTCTATTTCTGAAAGAAAGCAGCTCCTTTCCCTTATGCATTACCCTTCATTCCTGCAACTGTGACCAGAAGACCCTGCCAGCTGACTCACCCTGAGACACCTTGCCCCAGCCACTAGCCATACACAGTGTCCCAGCCTGGAAGTCTTCATTCCTGTGGGGCAGGCAGATGGGCTGAACCTCATTTCCTGCAGAGGAAAGGGTGCAAAAATGAGCACATGAACCCCATGCTTCCAGGAGCATGTTTGATTTACCGGTATAAACAGCATCCTTCAAGTCACACTGTTCTATTTTTTCCCCTTCCCAAAACACCAAAGTCACATGTGGGCATTTATAAAATGAGATTACAAACTGAAGTTAGTCACATGTAATTGAATTTATACATGGCAAATTCAGAGACAGAGATCAGAAAGATTGTTAGCTACCTTTGAATGTTAACAAGCAGGAGGATACTTGGGGAGAAGACAAGAGAAGAGGGGAAAGAGCATGGCAGAGACAAGGAGACCAGGTTGATTCTGTATCAGTCACATACAGTGTGGGAACAGGCTGGTGCTTGTAAGAAAATCTTTACATCATTCTCCCCAAAGACCAGTGCTGATCAGGTCAGGAGTTATGCAGGACATGAAAAACTTCAAACGATTCAGCTCAGTTCCATCCAGACTCATATTGGTTACTTTTTCCTTGATGTTGGGAGAAAAATGGACACAGATCTCCTTGGCTGCCTTGATGGGGCATTGGCAGTGCCCAGCCTTCAGAAGGGCCAAGCAGGGAGCCCTGTAGTTTCCTCAAGGGTTGTCCATATGGCTCAGATACTGTCAAGCCCAGTTCATGCCTGGAGACATACCTGTTTAGCCGTAGAGCACAGGCACACCGGCAGCCCTCAAGCAGCCTTCCTCGCACTGCCTACCAGGATGTCCGAGCCCTGGAATGAACATTTCTCAGGTCTGATTTCCCCTATTCCTGCCATTATGGGCAAACTGTAAGGCTATCACCATCTGAGCCGGTGATTTGAGACATGATAGTGACAGAGGGTTATTTAATGTTGGCTTATCTGCCATCTGATGGTCTCTGACAGTCATGGCCAGTTGGCTGTAATCCATCCTAGCTCTATACAAGTCATGGAGTTGCCTTTGAAAAGCCTAGGAAGTTAGATATTTGTGCCACTTCCCTAACTCAGACACCCTAAAATTACCTCCAGAGGCTTTGCCCCTGCCTGCAGAAATACTTGGAATTAGAAAATCCAGCCTGCTTCTCAGTGGACAGGACCCTTGCAGCCCACTGCTAGCTAATAGTTCAGGGCTATAGCCAAGAGGAAGCTGATGGCTTTCCAGCAGCTAGCTGAGAGCTAGCATCAGCACGCAGGGCCAAAGGAAACCACACCGGTACAGCTTGTACGAAGGGAACACAAGGGCACACAGGAACCTGGTGCACAAAGAAAGCATGGGCATAGCCAGAGCACAGACCCTGACCAAAGGATAAACTTCCAGGACAATTAATCAAAGCCTAGGACAAGAATTAACCCAATAAGAATTAAAGGCATAACTGAGGGGACATTTCTCTAGAATAGAAAGCATGGGAAGGGAAGGAAGTGGGGTGTTTCTTCTGGACCAGCACATCTGATGACTTTGCTGGCATAAAGCACCCTCCAGTAGTGGAGGTGATGCTCCCCCACGGTCACCACCAGCCTCTTCAGGAGTCTCCTGGTGGGAAAAAAACGATGCCAGATGGATGAGGGAAGGGGCTGCCACCACAATGTAAACCATCTTCTGCAAGTTCCCACTCTGACACTGAGCCTGCATCCCCGGGAACTGAGGCTGGCCTTCAGTAACAGGATTTTCAGTTGGGCTGATTTCACATTAGCAGCAACACAGAGGATTCCCTGACCTCCAGATGAAAAAGCTGGGCTTACTTTTAAGTGGATAAATAGGCTTCTTGTTTCATCTGCTATCCACCAAAGCCACTGTTCATACCTGGGCAGCAGAGAGCTATCAGGAGGCCAGGGGAGGTGCCAGCAGATTTCATTGCTGCCAGCTCAGTACAGGGAAAAGGACAGTTTATCTTTTGCTTTGGGACTCAGAACCCCTGTGCTGGCTTTGGCCTTGAAACATCAAGCTCAGCCCTTGTTACCTGCAGTCTGGGATCCTAAAAGGCACATGAGAAGCCTTAAAAGCAATGCAAACTGCTTGTCAAGTCATTTTGGCCCTATAAAGCCTCCTTTCTAATTTTGTTATCAGTGCGTTTAGGAGATGAGCAGAGGCCTACATCTGAGAGCTTTACAGTGATTTTAGGCAGCTACATGTAGTTTAAATTAACACTAGACAAGTGACACTATGCCCATTATGGGTTTTCTGCATATTTTATAAGCAATATAATGTCACAGTTAAACTCAGAGCAATCAGCTCCAGCAGAGTCAAAACATCATTTAGTACTTCTTTTAGCAATTATGTAGATCGCTACACTATCAGAGCAGAGCTACCCAGTAAATAGATGGGCAGCAGATCCTATATTTAGCAAACCAGATCTTTAGTAAAGGAGTTTACTCTCCTCTAGGGACCCAGGAAGCGCTCTGGAGCACAGGGTGGGACAATTTTGCACTCAATGGGAGACATGAACTGGGTTCATTGATCTGCCTGGTATCGGGTCACTGTGAGAGATGCCCAAAGGAGCCGCACAACTTCTCTGTGTTTCGACCATCAGCGTTTCCCATGACCAACTCTCACAGCACAGGGCACAACATGGCAGTGAGCAGCTCATCTGGAAATCTTCGCCCTTAGGGCTGATTAAAGGTCTGCCTGCACTATTACCGAAATACGACAAAACTGAGACCCGAAGCAACTTCCTTTTCTCTCCAGACTATGTTCACTTGAGACTCCAAGAAACCCCAGTGCTCAGACAAGAGCTTTGAAGCCTATTTATCCCTGATTTCTGTTAGTCTTATAGATTTTTTTTTTTTTTTTAAACCCTTGCCCTCAATCTCACCTCTAACCTCCATGGGATTGTACCCCTTCATGAAAGTCCAACTGCTGTGAGTTACCACCACGCTATTTCACCCATGCAGCCTTTGGAGGTGGCAAGTCTCAACAGTCTGGATTGAGGGTGCTGGTAGGCACACATTTTATTACTGCTGCCTGCCCTGAAGTGTGTGACCTTGAGAATTTTGAAGCAAGGTATAGGGGGTTTCAAGCTAAGCCTATGCTTCAATGCTTTCTAGTAAATTAAGATTTTTTTTTTTTTTTTTCCCCCCTACTCAGAGAAACCTTTCCTCTCATTTTTTAATCACTTCCAGCTGTAACAGACTCACTAATGGCACAGCTCAGCTTTAATCCCAGGAGGCTGTTTACTGGAACTGGAAAGTTCCCATACTTCCCAGAAAATGTCTGACACCAGGATTGCCTGGCAATGCAAATGCTGTGGTAATAGGAACATAGGAACAGCACTGGCAGCATAACAGTGGAGAGCAAAAGCACTGGCTAGTTTTGCACTGAACAGGGAAATAAGGAGGTGCCTCATTATCAAGGTTAATTTTGCACATTGAAATTTTTATACCATAACAACTTTCTCATTATTCAACATTAGTCCTCAAAAGCTATGCTCAAGTTGAGCAAGAAACAGATGTGAAACTGACTGGTTTGCAATTACATTATGATAGATTATAAAAGGGCTGGCAAAGGGGCCGCTTATATCACTGTCCCTGTCCACTAAGAGGTCTTTAGCATGGCCTGTGAAGCTGGTCTTGCATTAAAAGTACAGAAGCCAAAGTGACTGCTAGGAGTAATGGGAGAGCTGCCAGGAAGCTGCAGTGCTTCTCCTTCTGCCTCAGAAACGCTCCTCTGGGTGCTTGCTTAGGTGAGCAGGGTCTTTTAAAGTCAAAGCCCTTTAAAATTAGTGATTTAAACATTTAGAAGAACCATGGTCGCACGGAGATATCCACACCCTGACCTCCACCCCAGAGCTGCCCCCACCTCACAGAGCTCCTGAGCACTGAACGTGACATACGAATTTGATTTGCAAACTCCCTGAGTGGGTGACCCCTCTCCCCTGGCCTTGGGGAGAAACATGCAGAGACCCAACGAGGAGCAAGCAGGGTGCTGGGGGGTGCACGAGTTGCTTGAGGACCCATGGCTCTGCAATGACACAGATCTGACTGTGGCAGAGCTCTGGCCCCGCTCAGCCCCAGGGTCCCTTTGTAACTGGGGACCACGCACCGGGGTCTGGTCACTCCCCCTGTCCTAAGGGGGACTTTTGCTGCGAGAGATTCAAGAGCGAGGGAGGAGGTGAGACTGACTTACTGCTCCACACAATCAGCAGCGATGATAACCATGTCTTCTAGGACCAGACTGCCACCACAGAAATGGAAATGGCCCAGTTTGAGGGACACCTTCAAAGAAAGGGTCAGGTACGTTTTGAGATGAGGTGACTCTGGTTTCCTTCCAAAATGTGAAATAACAAAGATCAGCCCAGCCCAGAAAACGACTTTTTCCTCCCAGTATTAGTGTGTGGGACGCCCAACTGCCTGGAGCACAGGGGAGTCATTTCCAAGTCACGGCTGACCCTTGACAGTCACCTTCAGCCCCAGTGATGCATGAGAGGAATGAGACCCTGAAGCATCCTAAAACTGAGGAGACCAGAAAGACATCTCATTCCTCTTTCTTGCTGCTGCAAGAGCTTCTCCAGGGCTGGATGCTAGCCAGGGGTCCAAAGAATCCATCCCCCTGACCCCATCACCCTACCCTCTCCCTACACCACCCTCTCCTGTGCCTTCCAGCACTTCACACTGTTACCTACATACATTTTCAAGATGCTGCATGTGCAGGGACTGGGTTTTGAGGGGAGGGATGTGTCAAACACTGTTTTGCCACAGGTACCAGCATTTGCTCTGGCAATATGCAAGGCAAGTAGCACTTTTTCTAAATAGAGCCATGCCCTGCTCAGTTACTCATAAGGCATCATCCCACAATCATTATTCAGTGCTTTTCCTTATATGAACGCAAGCCACTAGACAAGGTGACTGTCCTCTGCAACAGGGGACCAGGGAGGAATCCCCCCTTCCCACCTCCGCAACCTCTTTCTGTACCATAAATCCAAGGAAATCTTCAACCCGTGCATGCCACAAAAGCTCTGCATCTGCATTAGCTCACACCAGCCAGAGATCTTGTCTTAACCATCAGACCAGCTCATTCCCTCCCACTTTGGAAGGCGAGTCAGCCTGGAAAGCTGGACAAGAGAGACTTTTAGACCAGCTTCCACTCCTGAGTGAGCAGCGTTCAATGATTTGAGGATGAAAGAGATTTTGCAGCTGCCTCTCCTCCTGCTTCCCCAGGAGGAAGGCAGTGCACTGCAACACAGACATGCCAGGGCTGCCCTCCAGGCACCAAGTCTCTCCCTCCCACAATTCAAGAGAAGAATTCCAGTGGCAGAGCATCCTTTGGGCTCTTCAGGTCAACGGGATGAAGTCCATACTTCAGGTCTACATAGAAGACAGAAACAAGAGTGTTTTGCAGCAAGATACCACCCCTCCTACCTCCATGCTCAAATGCATCACCCCAGGCTCTTCTGTCAGGCAGAGAATTAATGGGATACATTCTGTGTGTTTCAACTTCCCTGACTCCATCCTGAGCTCCAAGCTGAAGTCAATTATATGGAGATAAATGAAAACACAATTAAACTGCATTTCTTGATAAGACCCTGATGTGTGCAAAGCTGAGGTCTCCTGTGAGGTATTTTCATGATGTGTGTGCACAGTCATAAAAAAAGCACATCTAGAGTTCATCCAGTAGCCTAATTATTAATAAAATGCAGCTGGGGTTTACAAAAGTACATAACAAGTGCAACAGGTTATAATGACGACACCTGACTTTATCCAAAGTTTATTATTTCAAAGCTTCCATATCTAAGTGCCCTATGTCACTTAACCTGAGTAAGTTAAGTCAGCATGAAGGATCTTGTCTCTGAACGGAGCTGGCCCAGCATGCAGTCTTGCTTTTGGTCTGAAACATATCACAAGGAGACAGAGCTTTCTCACATTGCTTTTGGCACCAGTTGTGCCTTATAAAGGTGGACAACGAGCATGGGGAAAGTTTGACTTGGGTATGGCTGGGTCTGATTAAGTTTTAGATGCTTCACTGAACTGTACAGTTAAATAAATTCATGGCAAACACATTTATGTTTTCTGGGGAAAACTCCACCAGTCCTTGCCCAGCAGGGAGTGATGCAAACACTGACAGGCCTGCTGGCCCCATGCTCATCCCCTGGATGAGCTCCAAAACACGATCTTCACAGCAAAGATCACACAGGAGGAGTGATTTCAAATACTTGGGACACACACAAAAAAAGGAACCAATTGCAACTTCTCATACCTGAGGTCTGGTTCTCCGGGCTGGGTGGTTGTGGGAGAGAGGTAGCACCAGGCTTCTGGCTCCTTTGCTGAGGAGAGGACAGAAGCAATTCCTCCACTCCCTTCATCTGGCCTGTGCCTGCACCAGCTAAAAATCACTCTGTTCATCACTCCTGTCCGATGTGTTTCTCATGACAACAGGAGGGGTCCCCTGCCTCTCCCAAGCCAAAGCTGGGTAAGAGTTCTGTTCCCAGCCATGCAAACATAAGCAATATACTACTCATGATTTAGGACATACTTGCACCATGTTTGCCCTGGCAAGAACCTGAAATAATTCACTGGAGTCACCAGGAGACTGAGTCTGGATCCAAAATGTTAACAACTGTCACAGTAACACCCCTCCAGCCCTCTCTAACTTTGGGGCCTATGCCCTCTGTGTAGACTTGAAGGCAATGCTACTTGCTTAACCTTCTCATCAGGTTGGCAGGCATTAGAAAGCCCAATAATCTCTCACACCACCTTATCTGAGAGCCACTGAACTGAGGAGCCCACATATTTCTCCTCTACCCGGATGACCAACTACCCCAAGAACTCGTCTCACAAGGTTGTGGGGACCCTTGCACAACTCCCTGAAGCATCTGGCTGCAGAGGGGTTAACCGAGATCCTTGATGCTCTGTTCAGCTCAGCCTCTCTCTCTCTCCTTTTTTTTTATATCTTTCTATCATATTCCCAGGGTACTTTCTGGTCTCAAAGCATCTGACTACTGCCGAAAGCTCAGTCACAAAATCAAGCACAATTTTCTAAGCCATTGACCTGGACCAAGCTCTCCCTAGCCCTTGCTGCTGACTAGCTTTTCCAACAAGAGACCATGGTGATTATTGCTATGGCAGCAAGTCTACTAATGAAGTAGAAAATAAATAGACTTTATCAGGAAGGTAAATGATGGAGAAAACATCATTCCCTTAGGTAGAGAAAAAAAATAACATTAGCAACAGCAGAAGGACCAGCATCATATTGAAGCAGGGTGGGAAGGAATGCAGTTAACTGGTTATCCCATCTCTTGCTGCAGCTGGGCAGCTATTTTTAGGGCTAGTTGCATTACTAGGAGCAAATAGGTCTGAAGATCACCATTATTCTGCCCAGCTTGACCCCCTCTGTAGCCTGCCCTGTGCTTATTTCCCTCTCTTACCTGCAAGCACCCCTAGGACAGAAGTTTTTATGTGGGTGCAGAGGCAGGCCAGACAGGGAGATATAAATACACATTAGCCACTGCAGGAGGATGTGCAAGAAGAATTTGAGAACATGCTGCTATTCATTGCTCTCCTAGAAACGCTTTTCTGATCTGAGTGCCCCAGGGTCACCTCTTAGTAAACTCTGTGGGACTAATCTATTTCTCTTTCTTGCACAGCCAAGGGACCACACTGCAGCAGAGTCACCTGCGTGGGGAATAGCTCACTTGCCACAGCAGCCACAGAGGGCTGTGGTGAGCAGCACCTAGATGGAAAGGGTAAGAAAGGCTTCCAGTTCCAGCAGAGCGACAACAAGGGGCAAGCACACCAAGGCCTGGCACAATTGGTAAAAACTGACTGGTTATGCTCACTTTTTTGGTGAGTAGATAACCACCAGTGCTTGCTTCTGTAGCCCCCACACTGGGGCACATCTCCCCACAGCCCACGCACAGGACTCACCACATACAGCAAGAAGGGACGGGAGCAGCAAGACAAGCCCTGCTCCCTCCCTAGCCCGGGGAAAACACCCTGTGCTGGATCCCAGGCTATGCTCTGCTGCACACAAGAAAAACAACTCTCATCTCCCTCCTCACTAACAAGCCCCTTTAATAAACAAGGGGCCAATCACTTTTGGCAGGTGAGGCTGCAGGGCTGCAACTCAGGTGGGTTTGGAAGCTCTCCAGCCACGTCCTGCTGGGGTTCACCAGCTCCCTGGGCTCTCCCCTTTGTAGTTTGCTGCCCGTGCCACACAGAGACATCAGCAGGATCTAATGTCCCCCCTCACCACTGTCACCAGCCCTGGGCTGCCTCAGCCTTTGCAGTTTGAAGCAAATCTCATTGTTTTTTGCAGACAAGGGTTAGCACAAAGGTGAGTCCAGCCCAGTTTCTCGCCCCACGGTCTCTCCTCACCCAAGCCAGCCAGGGGGAACACCTTTATAAAGCACGGTGGTGTGTTCCTTCTTCCTTCCCAGAGGACACCAAGAGATCTGTCTGAAACCTCCAGCAGCTTCTCACCTGTGAAGCAACACACGGAGAGCCTGAAGTAGCTGCCATAAAGATGAAAATGATTTGACCTTTTTTACAGGGAGAGCTGTCATCCACATACTGCAAGAGCAAGCTCCACAAAGAAACCCTGCCCTGTCAGGATCCAGGAGAACTTTAGGGTGCATGGGCTGACTTCAAAGTGAGCGTGCAATTCTCCTACAGTGCTACAGAGGGTTTTGCACATACCAAAGTGGCAAAAAAACACTATGGGTTGTGTTTAGGGCTTTTGATTCTCTTTCAGGTCTGTTTTCAATGGAGGTGTTTACCACCATCACAATCCCCTGAGTGAACCTGAGCCCTGGGAGCATGTAGGAGCACCTGGGAATGTCTTCCAGGAAGAAGGAAATCAGAATTAAATTAGAATAGAATTAGTGGGCGTTTTTTGTTTCTGTTATGTTTTTCTCTTTGCACTCTCTAGACTTAAGTCTTTGACAGGTTCCTGACAGATGTATAAAGCCTGACATGAAGAACTTATGTCAGTATAATATGCCCCATCATCAGGACCGTGTAAGCACTAGCCCTCATCCTTTCTCGTGCTCAGGCTCCAAAAAATGCCTGCTCCAATATTTTTATATGACTAGACTCAAATACACGGGATGTATAGTTGCTCCTGCATGAGCAAACACTGGGACTCCTTGAACAGTAAAATGTAAGTCAAGTGGAGTAAGAAAATTTGTCCCTTCACCTCTAGAAGAACTTGTTCATGGCTGATCCTAAGGAACAGACTGACCCCACAGCCAGGAGAACAAAACCACACACGCCACTTACTTTTCTTACTTTTTATATAAAATAGACATATACATACATTTTCTTCTGCAAAGACTTTGAGCATAACTCCTTTATGCGAAATCTAGCCATAAATCCCACAGTGAAAAAAGCAAAGACTGCAAATTCCTGTACCACTGACATACATCCAGTTGCTGCTAAGTGTGAATTTATTTTTAAAAGAGTTCTAATCCATGGGCTGTTTTTTTGTTTGGTTTTTTTTTTTGAAAAAAAGATATGTGCAACTGATTAAAAAAAATTAGATACAGATATAAGAACCATATGAACAACAGGCAATGCAAACAACTCCTGCATGAGAGGAACACACAGCGTGACATCCACTTCAGGCAGAGATTTCTACATTAATACAGTTGTAGAAGCCGTAACTTTTACACAGGATACCACAGGGGGTATTCTCCAGAAGAAAAAAATTTCAGCAAGTGAGTACAAACATGGCAATGAACTTTTGCACAAAGTTATCAAGATTACCTGAAGCAACTTTGCCACATTGAAACACTAGTGAATGCCAAGCACTTTTTTTCTTTGTCCTTTTTTTTTTTTTTTTTCCTTTTTTTTGCTGCTGGGTTTAAATGTACATGAAAGCAAAATGGTGCATTTTGAAATTGCTGCAAGAGACTGAAGGTTGGGAAAAAAAAAAACATCTAAGGACTGATTTTTTTCCAAAGATTGTGCATAATTGCATATATGAAAGATAGAAATTGAGCACTTGGTCAACTTAATCATATACAGATTGAGGAGACTTAAGCACATACCAACTATTACACTGAGCTGGAGGACAAGTGGGGCAAAAGACCATACAGTTGTATTCTAAATGGCCTAATTATTAAAATTAGGATGGCAATTATCTTCCTTTACCAAATATGGTACACTGTATTTGGCCTGGTTTCTGTAACTGTTAAAATGCTTTCATAGTTTTTAGATAGTTTTAGGGATGTCCAGCCTCCCCTGCAAGTTAGGCTCTTAATTTTGGATTTTTTTGACTTAAACTTCTGCCACCCATGTGTATGCATGCACACTCCCCCCGTCCTCATCGAGATCTCTGGAATGAAGGCCATTTGCACTGCTGCATTCACTTACTGCTTGGCCAAAACAAGTTGCCTGCACATTTGTAAGAAAATCTAGTCCAAGGAGCCTATGAGAGAGAGAAAATGCCTCCCACTGCATCATTTATCCCGGAGGACAGAAAAGTAATGGAAGCAAAGAATGCTGGACTTTAAATAAGAAATGAAATAAAACAAAATCCATCACCTGAAAATATTATTCATGGGGAAAGGAAGAAGCAACACAATTATTATGTTTTTCATTTAGGATTAAAATGCACAGTGAGTACATGGAAGTCCTGTCTAACCAGCTTTGTGTTAAATCTCCACTTTAATATTGGTGAGCACTGAGGTTTAGCCAATGCAACTTGCAGAGAGCGTGAACTCTCCCCCCCCAGGTAGAGCTTCAGCCATTTATTAATTTGTAATCTCTACTAACCATGCTGAGCTCTGGAGTTGGCAGAAAACAATGTATTTATAACTCATTATTTTAGAAGCTGTGCAATGCTAGAGGAAGAGGACATTTCCTATGATTAATTAGGATAATATCCAGTTTATCACAAGGTAAGTCGTTTGATTTATCTTCCACAATAGCATTCTGTTTTGGTGGAGGTAACCCATTTCATATCATACTCCATTCTTCTTCTTCATCTGCAATAAACCTTTCACAAGATTAATGTCCTGAACAAACACAGTGTTTCAGCATGGATGCCAACGAGACAGGGAGTCAGCTCAAAACTTCACAAGGGTTTAACTGCTTTGGTAGCTCATGGTCTGAATTGCTCTCCAAGTATGCTGCCGGTTTGCAGACCATCATCCTGCATAGATGGGGTATAAAGTGCTGGTTCAGGAAAGTGGGGTTCATTACTGAGCCCTTCTCTCTTCGTAACTACCATAAACCCAGCTCCAAAATGTGGAGAGTTGGCCTTTCAGCATATAAATGCAATCCAGTCCAACTAGGATTAAACTCCGTGGATATGTTACCTGCCTAATTCAGGCAAGTGGATGAACATACGCTATGCCTTCCAACCAAACCCCCTCCCTCACCAGGAGGATGGTCTCATCTTTCTACGTTATTCTCCAAGTAAGACAGTATTGCAAAAATGGTAATCCTACTCCAGGATCTGGGGGGGGGGGGCACTCAAAGCTATATTATACTTTTACAATTACACTGGTTTTAGGAGGTCAAGATAGCTTTGATCAGGTTCTAGGACAAGAACAAGACAATCATTTCTACCAGGTCTCTCAGGAAAGACAAACTAAGATTGAAGCTGAAGCTAAAAACACAAAACCAAGTATTCCCCCTCACAAAGCATTGCTATAAAAAATACAGCTTCTATATTTGAAAAAATATGTTTCATTGGCCACAATTTAAAGCCACACTGCTGTGGGGCTTGTAGAATATATAGTATTTATTTAATATATCTTTACGAGGCAAAGTTTATAGCTGATACACATTCTTAAATGAGACGTATCTCCCCCCACCCCTATCTCTGATGCTTCAGCTAGCTGCCAGAGCACTCTGCAGATGCCTCCTCCCCGGGGGCTTTGCGTGGCACCGCTGTCAGGGGCTGCACCAAACACTGCTCTGCCAGCTGCAGGCAGCCAGCCAGCCTGGGCACATGGGGTTTTGGTGAAGCTGCCCCGAAGGCAGGCACGCTGCTGGCATGACCCCATCTCCTCCCAGGCATCCTGGCAGCGCCAGGGCTGTGCAAAGCCCCTCTGTGCACGGCATCCAGTGGAGCGCCCGCACTGGGGACCTGCAGAAATGTCAGGTCAGCGAGTCCACGGCCATAAAAGTTGTGCAAAAAGGCAAAGGGCTGCTGACCCAGTCGCCAGACCTCAAACCTGCCCTCAGCCCCAGAAAGCAAAGCTTGGGTTGGGGGGAGAAGGAAAAATTCACCAGCAAAAGATTGGCTTATTTGGTCCCAGCTGCTCCCTTAGGAAACCGGTTCAAAGGGAGAGAGCCCAGAAATGTGTGTTACCACCTTCTCCTCACAGTCGTCTCTCCCTCCCACCTCTGCCCAGCTGTAGGCACTGGTGGGTCTCCCTGGCCAGTGGGGACCAGTACCCCTCAAGTCCAGCCTTCTCTTGGTGGGTGCACAACCATGGCTCTAGCAGGTCCACAACAACCTGGCAGGGCAGACATCTGCACCAGCCTGCACTCCCTTCGAGCTCCAAATGCAGTTGGGAGACACGTTAATAATGTGTCAGTAATTTGACCACCAGTAGCAGCCAGACACTGACATTTTTTAATGAAGCCAGCAGAACCACCAGCGCACAGCTGTCCCATCGCACTGAGCGAATTTGGAGCTTGCTGAGGTGCCATGGCCAGCACCAACTAAACCCAGGTGCCACATAGGTCACTGCCACACAGGCTTTTCCTGACAGATGTGTATCAAGGCATCGCATACCTGATCTGAACTGTCCTTTACTAATAATGCCAAACCCTGGGCTGCTCTTCTGCAGGGACTGGCCACAATCAAGTTCAAATATAACAACTTTTATAGCAGTGTCCTGCTGCAAGAACAAACTGACGACCTACCCTGATGTCCAAACCCAAAGGCAGTAGTACCAGGCACGATCCCACTAACGCTCTCTGTGAATTGGTACAAACCCTGGTGGAAGCAGCAGAAGTGCTGTTATTGCAGTGACGCTATGGTCCAAGGTGCTCTGCAGTCATTTGCTTTAGAAACATCGTTAGGGGGAGTTATTCAAGCACGTCTTGGTGGTACTGCATTTTTCTAACTTCAGACAGTACAAGTCCCAACACCCAGCCACGTGGCCAGCTGCAAAGGATACTGCCCAATTCGTATAAAACAGAGAAAATATATTAATTATTTGATTATTATAAGTTAAATAAATAAAGCTCAAAAATAAATGCCCCAATTCTGAAGAGAATTTGTCTTCCCACTTCAGTATTTAAAAATATAGATTTATGACTGATCAGCGACAGGTCATTTTCTGTATCTTTTGGGGGAGGGGATGAGAACACTTTGACAAAGTGTTTTGTCAGTGTTATCACCATGATAAATGGGCTTTGTCCCTGCACACCCATAAAAAAGCCTCCCTAGTACCTTTTTCTAGGCTAGGAAATATTCCCTCCTCTCTCTGCGGCTTTACTTTACCTCCTATATTGATCAGATTGGTTGTTTTTTCTACTGGGGACTGGACAGGAGGACAATTAATCCTAGAGCTTCCCATTGCCTTTGGATGCTTCCATTTTTTTCAGAGTAATAATTATTTGGCCTGGAGGGAGAGGGCAAAGGGTAAAGCCATACGATATTTGACAATACTGACATCATGAACCTGAATTACTACAAAATGACTCTCTTATGAGTAAATCATTCAGGTGAGGTTTTCCCTCAAAGGATCATTTGTCCTACTTGTAGAATCAGTCCTCCTAGGGTGATATTCAGATAACATTTTCCCTTTCTTTAGAATAATTTTCGAGTCACATTTATAGCTGTAAAAGTGGCCACCACTTCCTCAACATTAACACCTTGAAGCCTTTTTATGTGACCATTATGACCATCTTTCCTGGCTCAGAAGGACCTGGCAGCACTTGCAATGAAGCACATCAGTGGTACTTTACATGGACGAGGTGAGCCTGTGTTGAGTAACAGGAGGTGCTACTTCACCCCTGCTGCAATGGATGAGTGCTTTGTCTCCATGGTTTCCCCAGTGATAACCAAGATATTGAAGATACATTTCCCACCCACACTCCTGGTGTGATTACAATGGGTTCAGCCTAAACATAAATCTTGATTAAAGGAAGGATTTCCTTCATTCTCCAGCATGTCCCACAGGAGCTGAGTGTCTCCTGTAACTTTGGTCAAACATAAGCATGCATTCAAAATTTGCCTTCTGTAATTCTGAGTCCTGTCAAAGTTCTTTCAAGCAATAGGCTTCCACCATACTCTTCTCCAAGGGCCATGAGTTTCTTTCCACTGGTGACTGAACGCTATGTTTGGTCTTTCTCCTGGACTTCCTGAAACCGTTTCTCCAAGCGATCCAGTTTGGCCAGGTTCTCCTTCAGCAACTTGCTGTTTGGAACCAGCTGTAAGGCCTTCTCATAGTAGCCACGGGCAGTGACGTAGCTCCCCTACAAAGAAAATGACAGATCTCATTCACATTCCCCGATATAGTAAGTTCATTCCTTGGGAATGGTGAAGACCATAATACAAAGGAAAAAGAGTTTATAGAAGTTGTTATTGTTAGGTAATGGGAATATTTCATTATGAAATGGATCACTGAGTGCCGTTAGCCTAAATCTGATCAAACACACATGGCAAGAAGTAGATTTACATTCTTTCGTTATGTTGTACCAGAAGAGTTAATTTTACTCAGCAGTAGGATAGCTTGAGGATATCACACAATGTGACTCCTTAAGACCCAAATCATAATGATATGCTAAATTATTCAAAAAGATAAGCAACCACAAGGCAGGCTGTCTATTTCCATAATTTCATGCCAGTATTCTGTATTAGACATCTTTACTAAATTAATTAGGTGGACAGGAATCTTAAAAGTCAACTCATGGTGACATTTTTCCAAGGCAGGCCAACAACTGAAGCAGGAAAAATATGTATCCATTACAGGATACATATTTCCAAGCAATCTTGTTGGGAAATTCTAGTTGGGGTGGGCAGACTTTCCTTTGTTTTGGATAAAATATGTCAGGGACAGTCAACTGTTCACAAACATGCAGCTCTTGGCAGCCTGAAACAAATGTAGCTTTCTGTCCTTAGTAGTAGTCTCTGCACTTGACAGCTTAAGGAAAATCAAAATTGTCATACCTTGATGTGCTCAATGCCTCCCATATTCATCCAGGCCTGCGCTTGGTCTGGGTTGAGCTCCACAGCCCGTTTATAGCTCTACATAAATATGAAATATTTTTAGGTTAAGAGCCTGACTCTTCAAACAAAACCACTGCTAGAGGGGAAAGAGAAATGAAATTTCCTCTCCTTCTGAATCCATTTAAAAGGTAATTTCAAACTCTTCTCATATACAATGCACGAGCCGAATTTCAGTTTCTTTACAGCAGAGGCAACATAACGTACCGCTTCACTGCCGAGCTCATCTCGCAGGCTTTCCCTGCCCACAGCACCATACAAGGAGCCACACCAGCCCCTGCGACCCTCTCCCTGCCACCCTGCACCACTGGGGTCTCCAAGGTCATTTCCCTGGGCAAGTGCCTGCCAACCACAGATCCTACGTGGGCTGTGATGCTCTTTATTTGCAAGCCTTTAATTTGGAGCTTGCAGCAGGCTACGGTACAGCCGTGTGTGTGGAGGTGTCACAAAGAAGTGAGGAGCAGTGCTATCCCTCCCCCCTTGCTTCTGCCACTGTGCACGGGAGAAGAAGCAACAAGGACCTTCTGGACCCTGTCAAACAGCACCGTTTTTATGGTGTCACAAAAGGAAAGAATTCAAATCAGGATTAGACATCTCTAGGGATACTGAGAATATTCAGAACTGTCCCAATAATGTTCTGTGCTATTGTTAATGCTAACATCATTTCTGAGCTATCAAGCCTCCTGCTCCACAGGATAAGCCAATCTCTCAGTTATTAGGTAGTGAGGTGAGATATAACAACATGGTGAGCCCTCACAGGTCCCCAAGCTTCCAGCTGAGGTACACGGAGTTGCCCATCGCCAGCAAGAGGGGCTAGATGGACTAAGGGTCTGATCAATGAGAAAAGGCCTAGGCTCCTCCATAATCCCACCACGACTCTGTACTCAAACCTCTCAGAGCAGGGAGCTGTATTTCCACACAGGAATGAGGAAAAAAGTTGCAACTAAGTCTGGCAATGTTAGCTGCCCCATAGCTTTAGCTGTGCCACTGGTGAACTGCTGAGTGCCCAAGGCCAACATCCAGGGTGCACACACCACGGAGTATTAGATGCAATGAGTTAATTTTATCTTCCAACCTATGAAACTATCTATAAGGCTTAGAGCAGTCATACCTCAAAAGCCTTGTCAAGGAGATTCTGTTCTCTTAGCTGGTTTCCTTTAGTGAAAAAGAGCTCTGATATGACTTTTGGATCCTTTGGTTTTAGCTGAAGAGCTTTTTCTATAGCTTCAAGTGCCTGTGAAAAAGCAAGAGGACATTGTGTTACTATATTCTGCATCTTTCCACTTCCCATGCTCTCCTCATCCTAGGGCCCCTCAGCATAAGAGTCATCTTCCTCTTTCCCTTGTTTGCCCCACACTGTTAACACTTGTAGAAGTCAGTTTTCTAGATGCCTGTGGCTGATGAGAAGTGGGGCTGACAGCAGCAGGAGCAGTAAGTGGTAAGAAAACCACACTGCTTAGCTTCAGTCCCAGCACCTAGATAAACAGAAGATTTTACTGAAAAAATAAATCTACTGGATGTGCACTAAGGCATGTGACATGTCTCTGGAGAGGTGGAGTGTAAAATTCAACCTGAGGTCTGTGTGGCAGCCCTTGGGAAATGGGCACCCTGCAACCACAGTACCTTGGCATAGTGCTCCTGCTTACTGTAGATGGCTGACAGAAGGCGGTAGCACTCCAGACACTCTGCATCCTCGCTGAGTATATGGTTCGTCATCTTTTCAGCTTCCTTCGTCTGTCCCATCATCGCTAAAACCTGAGCCTACGGAGCCACGTTATAAAGGGTTATGATCTTAAAAAGCTCAACCCTCCTTACTACGTGATGCTGCACCCAGGGGCAGGTGCTCCACTGCCACGGCCCTGCCCTGGCCGAGCTCGCCCCACACTCACCAGCGCCAGTCGTATCTCTCTGTTCAAAGGTTGCAGTGATGCCGCTTCTCTGTAAACCTGCAACGCTTCTTCATACCGCCCCGTGTTGTAATACAGAGCCCCCAGCGGGGACAGGATTTCAGCCTTCCGGGATACTTTCAGTGCCCTGGAATTTGGGAGAGAGAAATGCTTCCAGATGGTGTGGGGATCAAAATGGAAGAGCCGAGGTGTGGCTTGTGCTGGGACGGAGCAGCCAGGCTCTGCACCCTGCTCATCCCACCCTGGAAAGCACAAATTTAAGGTGCCAGGGAGGGATGAGCGTGCCCACAGCATCAATCCCTCTAGCCATCTGAGAAGGGGAGAGGGCCACCTCCAAAGTGCATGTGAGGATGCAGCAGGGGCGGGGAGGGCTGACGGTGGCAGAACCTGGGGAGTGTCAACACAAATCTGGATGCCAAAAAGGAGGCAAAAATAAAAACCCAGCTCGCCCTGCTGCATAATGGAAGTCAGGGCCTGCCTACTGGCACGTTGCTGGGAAGGACTGGAGTTCCTGATGGTGCCAAGGTTTCGGTGCTGTGTTGTGCAGCAGTTAAGGCTGTTAGTGGTGTGGCACCCACAGACCAGCTTTGAGCAGGGTGGGAGTCATGCTAACAACCTGCTTGTGCCACCAAGAAACCTCTAACATTACCGTTAGAGCATCCCCCAGCCAAAAGCAGCAGTGTGTCCATCCTGGGAACTTGGGAACGGTCCAGGGAAGTCAACACTGCCTGAGTCTGTGCTGCCTGTCCAAGTACTCTTGAAAAACAGCCAAATGAGCAAAGGCAAAACTGATTTCAAAAAGATGGAGAAGGAAGGGGAGGAAACTCAAACATGCACTGACAGATTCACGTATCTGAGGCTCTTTAGCAGAGACAAGCTGTACGTGGAGAGGAGGGAAACCTCTGTCTCCCATTCCAAATTCTTACCTCTTGTACCACGCTTCAGCCTCTTTGTTCTGCCCCAGGGAGCGGTGAAGCCTGCCCAGGTTCACCATGGCCACGTGGTGAGTGGGGCTCAGGCGGATGGCCTGCCTGTAGTGGGACACAGCTCGCTCGGGAGCCCCTGAAGAGGAGAACAGCTCTTGAACTGGTACATCAGAAAAAATCCTGTCACAAATTCAGCATGCAGCAATGCTCTGGGTTTTGTTTCAGCTATTACTCTATGTGCGGGAACCATTTTGAGAAAGAAATCCTGCCTCGGCCTTTCTAGAGATTATAAAATTGCTGTCCAAATTATGATTTAAGCTCCAGTATCTGGAGATGATCCTGAGAAACAGATTTTTCTAGGGGTGTGTTTTTGCAAGTCGAGGGTGCAGTCACCCGAAGAAGACTGCTGACTGAAAGTACTCTCCTATTACGCTGCGGGCGGGGATGCACCCCCCCTGTCCTAAGAACAGAGTCCACCCCAGAAAGGGGGCTGGGGCACATCTCCCACCTCCTGGGAGAACATCCACCCACTCTGGCCTGATGGAGAGACGGGCAACGGGGACATGGAGAACAAGCCACCCGCTATTCCCCGCAACCCCCACCAGAGCTGCAGTTTCAGCTCCTTCCAAACAGAGAATACTCCCTCCACCTCTGCTGCGCAGGCCCTCCCCAGTCTCAGCAGGTCTGGGAGTAGCTGCCAGTGACCAGCTAATTCCCACCTCGGGGCAGTAAATCCCAGACCAGAGGTGTCTGGGTGCCTATTTTGGAGCACGTAGGCACCACCTCTGCCTTGCGGAGGAGCCATTGGGTGGCACTGCTTCGCTGTGTGACGACGTCTCCCGGTGCCAGGCCCCGCAGTCCATGACATCACCGAGCGCCACGACAAAATACAACACCGTGCAAAAAGGAACGTGCCAGACCACTAGCCTAAATAGCATGTTTTTCTTTATCTAAATAACGGGTTTTCTCAAGGAGGATCTTGCCGTGCTTTCCTCAGGCAGGGCCTGCTAACTGCCTGCTAAATAAATTAATAATTAATAAATTAGTTTTCATTTCAGCAATGTGAATATTGTACTTTTAACCCCAGGGCTCGTTTAATTGGTTTGCACACTCCAGACCAGATAATCTCCTGATGAAAACCAATACTCACCGAGCTTTGTCCACCAACACAGCTTTTGAGTACTGGCATTTTTAAAGCCAAATCGCTTTACAATGTATTTAATTCCATTTCTAGCTGGAAAGCAGAACTTGAAAACAGCCTGTGTGTGTTGGAGCACTGAACATATGCTGTTGTGGGAATTTTATTTTCATAGCTTTTCAGATCTAATTTGGTTTTCCTGAGACTACCTATGCAACATAAAAGTTACACTGATGCTTCTCGTCATCTCCCTTACGGGAGGAGGAGGGATATCTGTAGGGAGATTTAGAAGCACTTAAGATTCATACAAGGCCAATGACATATCTTTCAGGGTAGGACTTTTTCAAAACATCCAGCAGCAGCCTCGATCCTCTCCCACTGCTGAGTGGGCAGATGTTTTTGAAAAAGATATCCACAAAACATCCTGGGAAGCAGCTGGGCATGCACCTCAGCCCGTAACTCAGCCCATGTCTCCCCTGCTCAACACACAGGAGTAATGCAAATCCTTAGGGGAGGCACACTGAGTGTCTGTGACCACTGCAGAACTGTCGAGTTATGGCTTCCCAGAGCTGACAATTGCTGGAGGCTTGTTGCACAAATACTGCAAGTTAATTGGGATGGTGCTTCACAGCATCCCCCCGTGCCTGCCGGGGAAGAGCGCAGCCTGTGACGGGCTCACTACCAGCCACTTCCTTCACGCCTTGTCATGTCTCCAGGAGGGTTATTTACACATTGTGCCTGAAGTATTAAAAGTCAGTAGGTTTTTCTTCCTGTTATTTGTGTGTAGGGAAGTGTAGGAGTAAACCAGGAAAAGTTAGTTTTGACTTTGGCAGAATACACAAGTGCAAGAAATAGAAAGTGTGCTGCACTGCGTTTGAACCACAGTTTTTGGCAGGGATAGGGCAGTTTATCTGGGTTGGCAAGCAAAGATGAGTACAACGTCAAAGTGAAGTTACTGGGGAATTTCTATTATTTGCAAGCTTGAATTTTGCCAGGGCACAAATTCAGAACCTCAACCTCTGTTGCTAATGCCATGATGCCTTTTTCGATTATGAATACTCATTTTGGCTTTGTATTTATTTCACACTGTACTACAGAAAAACCGTGGCTGAGCATCAGTCCAGAGGCAGGACAGCCAGCTGCAGACTGACAGACACCATCATCCTTTCTCCCCAAGCACCACCAGAGCTGGGCACAGTGTGAAAGGGGCAGAACGAGTAGGAACCACACACTTCAAGCCTACAGTATTTCATCATGGAGTCTCAGCTCTGTTCTGGAGGGACCAGAGTGAGATAGTAGTTTGGTTTCCACTAGTCATTTGTCAAACTTGGTCTTGCTTATACAGCTGTCAATAAAAGGTGGCAATTACAGCTGCATTTTTTTGTTGTTGTGTGGATGTCAGGAAGTGCCTGAGTCCAGGGAAGTTGGATGGGAACCAGGAGCCCAGAAAATAAAATCTTTGGATGTCATTATGGAGCTCCTGAGAAATCAATTCACCCCTCAGTATCTTAGGTTTTGTTTTCACAGATGAGTGTGGTTTAAAAGCCACACTTGTTTTTATAGTGGTGGCACTCGTCCTTTACAGTCAAAGAGCTGCTCTGTCACCAAGCAGAGCTGCAAGTACTCCAAAGACCATAATGATCTACTTGTGTGCCTAGGATTTGGTTTGATGTGGCCATGCCTTCCTGGAGAAATGGCAATACTGTCAGGGTGCTGCCCAGCTCAAATTGAAGAGGACAACTGCCTGTGCAAAGATGGTGAGAAACACTGAAGGAAACAGCTGGGCTGAATGCCACTGCTGCACAGTGCCTGCATTGATTTCAAATTTCAGGATGCTGTGCCATCTCAGCAGTGTGGGGATAATTATTTCCAAGCTACAGTGGAGGCAAATCTATTGCTTTGGAAGCTTTTGACACCCTTTCGGATGTGTACTGCTGAATAAAACAAATCAAAGCAAGTAAGGCAGAGAGGGAGAATCCCTTGCTCCTTCTCACTTACCGGTATCAACCAAGAAAACACCGTAGTTGTTATGCAGATCAGAGCTCTCTGGACAATTCTCTATGCCAGCCTTATAGACTTCCTCTGCTTCCTTAAGCCGTTCCTTAAAAGAGAAGGAGATTTCTTAGCCATGGTAGAAAGGGTGTCATCGCCATTTGCCACATACCTGCATTTCGTTACAACTCCCTTTCTGCATGAGGAGCTTGGGGTGCCAGCCCACCTTGCCTCCTAGGAAGCCAAAACTTTACCCCATGGCATGGATGTAATAAAGCTGTTGTCTGGTACCCCAGAGCAATTCAGACAGACAGCTTTCCCCCACACATTTGCAATTGGAGCTACCTGTGAAATAAAAATAACAGCTGGAAAAGGTGGCTTCTGTGTAGTGTCAGCGAGCCCCAGTGGGCACACACCCACCCGGGAAAAACACAGTGACAGGGATTGCGTTGGTTCTGTTGAGAAATATCTGTCATCTGGGAGATGATAGTATTTTAATTTATTTGTTTAATGAGCATCTCACTGGCTAACTTTTCCCCTCTGGAGCTCTGCCGTTCGTTCCCTGAGCAGTAGGGAAAAATACAAGGAATGAAAGCTTGGCGTGTGTGACAGCTGGGGGACAGGGAGCTCATGCAGGAGGATGAGAGAAGCTGGAGGAGGATGGGGGGCAATGAAAGAGCGGGAAAAATCTGACAGATTCAGATTAAAACCAGTTGTTGACAATGCGTGAGATGTAGCTCACTGGGATTGATGGGACGTGCCACCGTGCTGATTCCCAGATGCACTGAGCCCTTGTATTTTGCATAGACTTCAAGGAGGTTTGTTGGTGCTGAGCATTTCTGGAAAATACAGATCTTTTCTTTGGGAACACTCTGCATACAGAAAATGCCCTACTGACTGGGCTCTGTCTAGCCTGACCTGCAGGCAGCCCGGTGCTGAAACGAAAATAAGGTGTCTTGTTTGGATCAAACAGCAACTTAATACAGTTTCCATTTCACTCTAGCCAGCCAGTGCATGCCAACTGCCTGCATGCTCACTGGCATGGGTTATCATGGTCTTCCTCCCCCTCTAGCCTCAGAGCTTTGCTGTTGGGTGTATTTATGGAAGGAGGTTGTGAACAGCAGACAGGCACAGTGCAGGGGGGTGTCAGGCAAGCCTCCAACACCAAAGACATCTTTGTCAATTCTTCCCCTTCTGTGGAGCAACACAGCCCTACGGCAACAAACTCCACAGCCTCCTGACAATGCTCCCAAGCAAAATCAGCCATCTGGGTCCCACCAAGGAAGGTCTGGGGCCACCAAAGGCAGACCTTCTGCTTGGGAGCTGAATCCACACTGAAATAAGAGGTCAGTCCATTCCCATTATGGACTCCCTTCCAAGTCCCACAAGTCCTGGAATCTCCTAGGCTTTCTCTGGATTTAAAGGGTGTATCTGACAGCAGCTCCTCTCTGTAGCTGCTTAAAGGTGTGGACTCCTTTCTCACCTCCTATTTCAGAACTGGAGAGCTGGGATTAATCACACTGGAAGAGTATGACTTGATGAAAGCACACGGTTTGCCATGGTTAAGTGCTTTCACATTTACATGATAAAGGTCAGCCAGCAGAAAAGATAGTGTGTGATAAAAGACAGAAACACATTTTTTAAAAGTGCTTAAGTTTGGACATTTTGGATCTATTTATGTGGATTTGACATCATTATCCTGCGGGGTCAGGCAAAGTGTAGCGATTGTCAGAATTGAATAAAATGAAGAGCAAGTTTTTTGAGAAAGCATCTGTGTCACTAAGACACGAACAAGCACATTTTCAAAGATTTCTGTATTAGTATTTCTTTTCCTCTGATTTTAATTTTCAGCCAAGGAATATGGCTTTGTGTGCATGTATGTCAGTTTTCTTCACTTTATTTACTGATCATAAACTGATCTTTAAAGCATGGAGGGGCTGTGTTAAACTGAATTAGCAGTGTCCCATGTCGAAACATTCATGCTCATCAATACTGAGAAATTTTAGCATTTTCATCATGGTTGCATTGCTTTTTTGGCACATATCATCCCGATCCTGCATGCCTCAGGCTCAGTGCAGAGACTGGGATGATTTCTCTAACAAAGCATTTGCATTAAGTGCAGTCAGAAATGGGAAAGGGTGGGACCAGCTTTTTGTGCCAGAGCTTTCTCCCTCACAGCCTCTCTTCTTCTTGGGAGAAATGCCTTAAGTTCATCAAGGCTTGATTCTCATTAACACTTAATAATGCCACCCCCAGACCTTCATGGAACATTCATCAACCTCACAAAATACAGAAGATTGGCTTAAAAAATGCATGAGATTTTTATGATATTAAAAAAAAATTAGGCATGTGAGGATCTCTCAGTTGAACTCCAGGGTTTTTAAGTCCGTTTTTTTTATGGCTCAGTTTTTCAGTCTGGTTATGCCTGAGTAGGCTCTCCTCTACAGCTAACTGGGTTAAAAAGTTTCTTTTTCTTGGTGTAGGCTGATATTATTACACACACTCACACACAGAAAATCACTTGAATCCAGAAACTATGGCCTGAAAAGAGCCATCAAGCAGCACGAGATGGCTGATGAAACTGCAAGAGTGAGGAAGAAGGTGCTGTTCAAGTGCATCAGAGTAAATCCTGGGGAACCAACGTTACATGAGTGTTGCAAAAACAATGAACAAAAATGTTTGATTTCTGATGTTAGCACCACTGCAATGACCATGGAAAACAAGGAAAACAACAATACTTTGCAACAGAGTTATGATACCAAGCAGAAAGAGCAGTAAGAAGGGCAAGCATTTACAAAAGGCAGAAACAAGCCGAACTCTTTTATGCAATGTAGTGGTGTTTTTTTCCACGTCAGCTCTGGCTTCAGAATCAACTATCAAGGAGAGAAAAGGGCAATTACATTGAGTTACAGGCTCATTCCCTGGTGTGAGAGACATTCCTCTTAGGAGCATTTTTTAAAGCTGTAGGAGGAAAGGACCCATAAACCCTATTTTGGATTCACTGCCTTTAAGATAAGGGGGGACACGCTGTGCAGGACAGACCAAAGCAATCCTGGCACTATTTCACTGAGCCGTGTCCACCCGTTTGTCCCCTCTTTAGTTTTAGTGCAAAGCTGGAAGAGCAGCAGCTTGTCATGGGCACTGTCACCTCATGTGAGTTATCTCAGTGTGTCACAGCACTTCAGCCCCTTTCTAATCACATTCCAGCAAGAGGAAACCAGTTTGTGCTCCCGTCCCCAAAGCTCCACAGCGATGCTGTCCATGCAGCCTGCTGCACACTGCCTGGCATCACAGGTGCCCCTACAGCTGTGAGACAGACTCTGAGCCACGGGTAGACAAGAAACCAGGTTTGTAACTTTTAGCCAGGTTGGACGTGATCGCTTGGACAAAGAGGAAAACCCAAAACTGAAAAATGGGGTCCTGTCACCATCCTTTGGGCTGAAGATGCCAAAACTTCTGCCCGCACCCCTCCAGGAAGCACAGAGTGGTAGGGTGTGGATCTGCAGTCGCAGCACGGTCAGGGGCAGCAGCACGTATTTGTAGGTCAGCCCGTACTGCGGTCACTAGCGTGGGTGCGAGAGGCAGGAGCTATGCAACCAGGTAGTCGTCTGCTGTGGCTGAACATGAGAAGGTGTTAAAAGCCTGCAGGAAATCACTATTTTCTGAGGAAATTGTACTAACTATCTTTTTTCCCTAACACTTACTCAAGTCACAAGAGGACGAACAATCTATACGTAAGAGTAGGTGAATTATTGCTGGACTTACTAATGGCATTTGCTTTGGGCAGAAGGCCTCGGGACTCTATAATGGATATATTCCTCTGTTGACCTTACAATCGATGGTTCTAATTAATAATTTCAATTAATATTAAAACCAGGTATTACTGTGAAGGGCTCATTTCCTGTACTTGCAGGATACTCTTAATTGGTGGGCTTACTCAAAACACAGTTTCCATTCAGGCTCTTCTTTCAATCCATACACTATATTTCTAGGTCCCTGTAACTGATACTGATAATATTAAAATATTTGAAAGTCACTTAAAAGTGAAAATAAAATAGCACATCTTTCATTAATCCACAAATATCATAGGTGAGTTTTGCAGAGTGCCTACATCATTAAAGAAGCCTAAACCAGAACAAAACCCCTGCTTATAGTTTTGCTGAAATTTATCCATTTCCCTTACAGAAAGATTTCACTGACCAGATTAATGGAAAACAGTGGAAGATTATACTCTTTTGCTTTGTCCGTATTTGCATTTGGCAACCTTTTAACAAAGCTTTAGCACTCTGTGCTATGGAACAGTTAGATCTGAATCCTGGGGGAGAAATAAATCAGTTTTCAAAAGGTTTGCGGAGGTGTGCTGGAAATGTGCAGTTATGAGGACCTGGTCACCCACACCCGTAGCCCCAATCTGATTGTGGCCACAGACTGTGGGAGAAACACTTGAAGCACAACATCCCTAATCTGCTGCTGCAGGCGTGGAGAAAAACCAGCAGGGCTTGGTGGTCTCAATGTGGGCACCCATGCTTTGTGGCTTCTTCTGAACTCAAGCATTTTGTGCCTCAATTTCCCTTTTCCTCCATGGGGACAATATTTCACCTCACAGGGACCTTGTAGAAATAAATTACCTAACTACAGAGAGTAGGAAGAGCCCTGAGTAACGAATATGGGGAACAAGCCAGAGAGGAAATGAGTAATCCTGCCTCCAGAGCACAGCCTGGGCCATGCACAGTAAATAAGACCTGGGGGCACGTACTGAACAATGAGGTTAAATAAAATATCAAACAGCTGCTCATTAAGAGCCACATAAAGCTAGTGAGCCTTCCCACCCCCTGTACTTGATCATCTACCACAGTAATTAAGGGCTGTATTCTGATGTGTGCATGCAAAGGGCAGAATCCAGGCTGCAGAGGCCACCCTGTTTCTGACATTTCCTAGCTTCGGCATGATTTATTACGAAATCTCAAGGTTCTCTACCTAGGTGTGTGTGTCTGAGGGGGAAGAGCTCGCCTATTCTGCTGTCACAACATTCAAGGTGCGATGGATTAAGACTTCACTACAGACGCGGGGAGCCGCAGAGAGAGGGTATTTACTCGCACCTTCAACAGTGATTTAATTCAGAGCCACCTCAGGTGGGTGTAATTACTCCCCGCAAATGCGTTGCCTCCCATCCTGCAAAAGTCATCTCTAAAGCAGCCTGAGAGCTCCCCGCTGACAGCGTGCGAGGCGAGGGTGCTCCAGGGGGATGGGCAGGAGGCGTCGCGGCTGCGGCAGTGGTGCGTGCACACGCGCGGGAAGGCACGAGAGCTCGAGCGATGCCCGTTACCTGTTCGGCTAGCAGCGAGGCCAGGCTTGAGTAAGCATCTGCAAACTCTGGGCCGTACTTGATGGAGTCCCGCAGTAGGATTACAGCTTCCTCTTTCTTCCCTTGGGACCTTGCAGAACATGGAAGGAGGGAAAAAAAAAGAAACGTTCCTGTGAGTACATGTTTAGGTCATCCCACTGATTAACAGCTATAAAGAGACATGAAAGTCCCTGGCTTAACCTTTTCAACAAAGACTAAACGTTTCACTCATGCCTCTCCTCCACAGCGTGTGTACCCAGCATCTCCTTGGCCCATCGCTGCCTCCTTATGTTATTCTCAGGAGTTGGGAGGACACAGGCCTTAACGAACCTGTTACTTGGTCTGCTCTTCTGGTGATTGTCATACCGAGCACTACCCAATGATCCCAGTGAAAACCAAGCACCCCCAAAACAGTGCATTTCTCAACCTCACACACTGAAGAGCAAAAAGTATTTTATTTTGGCTATCAGACAAGCAGTACAGGCCACATGCTCTGTCTGTTGAGTCATAACCACTAGATTTTGTAAACTTCTTCAGTCCTACTGTATATCTCCTCCCAATATTCCTCTTTATGGCAAATACATCAAATTCTGCCCCATTCATCCCATCAGGAGTTAAAGATACATGAAGGCCAAGATAGCAAAAGTGTCCCCAGGCATGAAGTACTGTACAAGACCCTCCCAGCGATGTCCTTGGGAAGTCGCATGCCCTATGGGAAGGGATGCTGTCAGGGTAACATCAGGTTTGCAGTCAGCTTCTGGAGGTCTGGCCCCAGTCATGTCACTGAGGCACTGACTGACCTGGGAACAGGCCATTTGCTCTCACCAACTCTGCTCTCACATCAGTAGGTTGGACACACCAAAACATTTGCATTTTCTTAAAAAAGGACCCCGCAGAGTCTTTGCATGTTCCTAGACAAAGAGTGCTGTTATAGATCCACTTATGGCTTAGTTAAATTAATACTTTTAAATTACAATATTTCTAAGTTAAATCTGCAAGGGATCTCTGATTAATTCCTTAGCAAGCCAATCATTAGGCTAGAGGAGTCTGTTCTTCAGGTCCTAAGGATTATGAACACAGATAGTTGAAAGATGGTTATGCTGATGAGCTAGGGTTTTTTCCAGCACTGTTCTGTGTTTATTGCCATGGAAAACAGAAAATGTTTCCTGAACAAAAATCTATGGGTGTTTGTTTATTTGAGCTACAATTTCTACAGTAACACTCTCTATTTCTTTCCTTGGTAAAAATGAGAAGGTTTCCTGAGCAAACATCTAAGGATGTTTAGCTGGACTGGAACAACATTTTCCTTGTGTTGGATGTACAATGAATATGAATAGCAGGGCTTACAAAAAGAAACAAAGGGCTCTGGGACATAGAAAATATGCGAACACCTTGCTGCTTTGGCCTTAGATTTCATCTGAGTGACATGGTCAAGTAACCAGATCTTGTTTATAAGGTGAAAATTTCAGCTGATAATATATATGGCTTTGCAGATTTTTTCCCTTTCTAGCTGTGTAACTGGAAGAATATTTTGCCCGTGCATTAAGCTAAGTAAAACCAGTTGTGCTAGTCTTTTTCTTCTTCCAGTGGTGTTCCATATAAATTACATGAATGAAGCAAAAACAAATAAAGAACCACTTTTCTCCTACACTAATTAAAGACTAGCTAGCTTGTCAATTTATAAAACTTTTGGATCCCTTGGCTGGAGTTTCATGACACATTTTTATAAATCAAAAACAGATGACTGCTTTATAAAGGTATTGATGTTTGGCAAAAAAATGTAGGAAATGCCGGCTATAGAAATAAAAGGATTAAGCGATCCACTCAGCAGCAGTAAAAGTTCCCATTAACCACAAGCATGCACTCAGAACATGGGGCAGCCCTCTTAATTACGCTTTTTTTTTCAAAATGGCCTTTTTTTTCTTCACTTGATCCAAGAACAATGTTTGTCTCCTGAAAGTGGGGGTAGAGAGGGAAAGATTATGGCATCTTTTTATGTGACATACTGAATTACATTAAAAAAAAGCAGATCCAGTAGTTTCTCAGAGGGCTCAGGCCTGCAAGATACCAGCGCTCTGGCCAAGCACTTAAACGCGTACTTAACTTTTATGTATGCAAGTTGAAAATTAATTACTGGCTGAAGTGCTTTCCTGGATCAAAGCCAATGCTTTGCAGGATTGAGGCCATTGCTTATATAAATTTCATGCAATTTGGGAGAGCACAGAGCATTGGAAGAACAGTCCGATACACTGATTTACCATAAACTGGGGATCTGGAGTAGGAAAAGCTAGGTAACGTATACCTTAGCTATGACAGAGAGAGGAAAAAATTCAACTGACATGAGAAGTCTGTGATCACTTAATCCAATTTTTCCCCAAACTACCTTGCCCTACAATACCCTCTCCTGACTCCTTCTTCCACTTGAGCCCCTAGCCTCCCCTCTACAATCAGCATGTCCGAGCTGAGAGCAAGGAACAGCTCTTTCCACCAGGAGCATCTCTTCCATATTTTTGCAAGTGCCCCACAGTTGGAGAAGCATCAACTTAAGCCATTGGGCAGAAGTCTGATGATGCACACCGGAGCAGATTTCATTTGCAACAGAAAGAGTAACCTAGAAATTAGTGCTCTAGAGGACTTTTTAACTTTCAAGATTTAATTTATTTTGTGAAGTTAGTTTGACTGCATTAAAGAGAGAAACACAGAACTCAGCAAGGGCTCCACAACTGTTCTGAACACCTCATCTTGGTTTCACACCATAATCCAAGGGGAGCTTGCAGTGTTTAACTCTGCCTGTCTGAAAGGAAGCCTCTGAGCCTGTTCAACTCCCTGGTTTAAAACTGATTCTGATAATTTAGATGCACTCCTTTGCCATTCACCTACGCTATGTGGGTGACACCAAAGTGGGGGAGTGGGCAATACACTGCAAGGCAGGGCTGCTTTTCAGAGGGACCAGGTCTGACAGGGACCTCATGAAGTTCAACAAAAGCAAAAGCAAATCCTGTACCCAGGGAGGGATAACCCGGTGCACAAGCACAGGCTGGGGGATGACTGAGGTCCTGGTGGACAACAAGTTGATCATGGGCCAGCAATGTACATGGCAAAGAAGGCCAAGAGTGGGTCCAGGGAAGGGATCCTCCCCCTTTATATGATACTTGTGAGACAGTATCTGGAGCAATGTCTGTCCAAAGTTGGGCTCCCCAGTGCAAGAAAAGCATGGACTTACCAGGGGAAGCCCAACAGAGGGGCCACTAAAGAAGGTCAGGGCCAGACCACCCATTGCATTGAGGTGAGTCTGAGTGAGCCGTGTCTGTGCAGCCCAGAGAAGAGAAGACTCGGGGGTGACTTTAGTGCTGGATGCAACTACTTGGGCAGAGGCTACAAAGAAATCAGAGCCAAACTGCACAGAGGTGCATGGTTACAGGACAAGAGGCAACAGATGCAAGTAGGAACATGGAAAATCCTTATTAGATAAAATGAGAAATATTCTTCACCATGAGGGTGGTTAAACACTGGAACAGGTTGCATGGAGAGATTGTGGCATCCGTGTCTTTGGAGGTGTTCAAGATTCAGCTGGACACAGGCCTAAGTAACCTGATTAGACTTGCTCTGAGCGGGAGGTTTGACCAAATGATCTCCAGAGGTCCATTCCAACCTAAGTTATTTTTTTAATCTAATGTAAATTTGACATGGACAGAGTTTGGATTTTTTTATAAACAGGCTACAATGTGTATATGATACTGACAGGTAACTACAGCACTTTGTGCAACGCAGAGTATCCTAACCAGAGACCATCCAGAAAGCCAGATGCAGTATCACTGAACATTATCACTCAGTTTGCTTCTTTGAATAGAAGGAAGGAATGTTTCACTCTCTAAAAGGTCTTAAATCTCAACACACATAATGTTTATCTGATATTTTTCAGCATTTCAGGCAGTTACACAAGCCTGTGTCAACACATTCACATACATATATATACAGAAGCCTGTATCAGAGAGGGCAGACAGTCATCCTTCCTTTGAATAGATTGGTTTGCTAAACTTGGACTAAATCATGGCAACAAATGCACAGAACACATTGTGTGTTACTCTACATTCAGAAGAGAATCAACCCTTTGAATAAACTCAAGATTTCAGTGGACATTGCTTCTAGGCATTTCACTTTCTCCTGAAAATGAAGCCATAACACTCTCAAAGCACGTAAGAGTTATTGAGGCTTTCCTTCATAAGAAATAGTGTACTGAATATTGGAGTGCTTTAGGTATGGATACACACAGTACTGCAAATAATAAGTTCTCTCCCATTCTTCTTGCAAGAGAAAGCCGAGATAAATATTTACTTCAAATGTTCATAATATTTTATTTCTTGTCTCTTTACAGAATATCCCACAGCCTATAAATTTGTGAGGTATTCGGAATGTTACTTATCTCAGGTTTTCAAGCTGTATCTCAACAAGACCAAGTCTATATAGATGAGTTAAATATTTATATAGTGGGAAACTTCAAAACAAAACACAAGAAAGCAGCATCAGGATGCTCTGTGTCACTGATCATGGATCACGAAAGCGGAGAGAGATTTCTCCCTTTTAGGTAGGCCATCTTTTGGGTCTATTTTAACTAAGAAATCTGATGGCATTGTTTAATTATCTACTTTCCAATATTTATATTAGGCAAGAAATTTATGACATACAACTTTATTTTAGGATATGTAAACAAAACCAGAGGCTTTTTCAGCCATTACCCTGCAGTGCTTCCTGAGAACATTCATCTTCTGGCACATAGCTGTCTTCATTATGTGCAAAGAGAAAATGGAAACACCCTTTTCCATCTAGGACTTCCGCAGAAAGAAACTTAAAAATCCCACCCTGTGGTCCTCAAAACAGCTTTTTTACTCAAGCTTAAATCACATGCAATGGATGCTTAAATAGAGATCTTATTTACAGGGCATAATGAGAGGCAGATTCCCACAAGGAAATAGCACACCCGTCCTTCCAAAATCCTGGAATTCCCCTTTCTCAGCACTCCAGAGGAGCTGAAATCTAATATCCTCCATCAGATTTCCACGCTAGGAGCAGGGGTGGGTATAAGGAATTTAGGAGAATTCAACTGGGAATTCCCCACGCCAGATGGTTTCATTAAGTGTCCCAGTACAAGTAGTGCTGCTACTGGACGTGTCTTAAGTGCTGCAGATCTGACCCTCCCTGATCTGCACCATGCACTGATGCTGCTTCAAAGAGGACAGAAAATGCTTTTATAGCTTGACCATTTATCCTCTGACATATGTTTAAAAATCAAAACTCTCTTCATAATGTCTCATAGCACAGCCAGAAAGTAGTATCTGCCTGTAATATTCTGCAGATTTTCATCTGCATTTAGTGTCTGCAGAATACCGGTTGCCCTATATACATGTATATGAAAGGATAAATTAGAGACCCAGGTAGAAAACCTAAAGAAAGATAAAGTTGTAGGAAGGGGGAGTTTGAAATCTCTGCCTCGTTTCTGTCCACTCATCTCACAAGTCCATGGTCCAGCATGGCTGATGATTTTGGCTAAGTTGATGGATGATCCAGGAAAGGTGCTGGCAAAGGGGTTTGGGCTAGTATTTTATGGGAGACTTTCATACAGGATCTGCCCACACAGCATGTGCTTTACATACGAGCAAATCTATCCACCATGAACTCTATCTATTTTTTAGCATTTTTTTTTTAAAGCTGAATAGAGAAATGAGGACACTCAGTTTCCATTATGATTAAAATTGGTGTGTCCAGATGCACTACGTTGTTTTGGAAGCCTAAAGAAAGTTTAGAAAATGGGAACAAATGGGTGTGGGAAAAGGGCAGGTAGAACCTGAGTGCTTTCTTTTAATGTGTTTAGCACAAGCATCACACACCTTTAACACACCACAATATATAGTACCACAGAAGGATGCAGAGCGCATACAGTCCAACAGGACATACAGATCTTAACTATCACATTAGGAAAAACATGACATATTGCGCACAAAACAAACAGCAGTTCTAAGAGATTTTCACACATGTCTCCTCTGTGCTTTGCCAGTGCAACAAATCCAGTTTCTACCCATCTGCTAGGTCATAAGAGCCCATCAACAGGCCAGATTTAAGCATTATTGAAATGGGATGTCCTGGTGCTGCTTCTGGCTTACGTCCTTTTGTGTTAATATTTTATATTTAACAACAAAAAAAAAAATCACTAAGAATAATAAGGCAAACATGATGGATTAAAAGGACAATATGTATTTTTAAACACCATTGCCACCTAAGATTAATTTCAATCAACCAAATCTGATGAATAATACAAAGACCTTCAATTTCTCTTGTAATAAGACTGTCCTTACCATTTTCCTTTCCTGTATTTCCAGTAAAGCACTCCCCTACTTTCTATTTAAGAACTACTCATCTGCCATACTCTAACCTCAAACCATCAGGCTTACTTGTAATATTATTCTGATAACTTCCCTGCTACTAAACAGATCAGGCAGAACTTCAGCAATCCACTTAATATCCTTCATATAAACTTATACTCAAAGTAATATTTCAGAACCAGAAAGATCAAGTATGTTTTGATTAGACAGTGCCACTTTAAAGTCAGTCCAACACTAAAGCCAAATCTGCTCTAAAAGATTTATCAGAGACCTATTACCAGCAAAATTGGGGCAGTTTATATCAGCAAAGATGCATCTTTACTGCTGTAGTTTATGCAGTTTTGTCAGCAAGTTTCACGCTATCCTCACAAAAACAAGGGGGATTTTGCTGGTGCAAAACAGTAATGCAGGAATAGAGATTTTATTTTTTTTTTATTTGAACCCCTATCAGATTTTATCATACTGGCAAAGCTTCTTGTGTAGATTTAAGTTCAGTCTTTAGATATGGTTAGTCAAATTAATTTGCATGATTATGATCATCTGCTATTCTGCCTGATAAAGGCTGACGCTTGAAATAACAATGAGTGAAATTATGTGCTGATTAACTTGTTTACTTGCTCAGCAGAGTAACATATAGGGCTGTAAGCCAGTTTTCTCCTCAAATCCAGACCCACCCACTCTGCAATGGGATAAACTTTCTACTGCTCTGGGCATCTCAGAGTTAGGTGCTTAGACCTAAACTATACATTGACCTTTCACCATGACCTTCCATGAGAAGAAGTGAGAACTTGCAGAGAGGGATTTTTTTGGATCTGTGCTATTTATTAGATCTCCATCAGATGCCTGCCTTTGAACAACATGGCTTTCTTCGCCAGAAAGGCTTACACGTCTCCACTGAGATGGGAATCTCAGGCGACTCTTTGGTTTAGGCACCTCATTTTTGATGTCCGATTTGGAAAAAGCGAACTCCCTCCAACTGAAACAATTGTAAACTGCATCTGAAGTGCCGTGGCAGACAGCATAAGGATCTCCAAACTAAGCCTCACCTTTGTGCTAGCACTCTTGGCCAGCAATAAGAAATAGTGCCATTCCTTCACCAGGTGGCAGAAAAAAATACTTTGGTGATGTGCGTAGAGAGAACGTGAATTTCCTTTGTGCCAGTTCTGCATTCAACTTACTTGAGCAGGTTGCCGAGATTGAAGAGAGCTCGATTGTGCTGAGGGTTTAACTGAAGGGCCCGTCTGTAGTAGTCCTTTGCCTCCACCACGTCTTTGGTCAATGTCCCCAGGTTGTTGAGAGCACTTGCGTGACGAGGGTACAGTCTAGGAAAATTAAATACCAAGTTACAGACACACGTTAATTGACAAATAAAGCTGAGGTCACTAATGCTGCCACCACGGCTGTTAAACACACAGTAAAGGGAAGGATGTCAGCTACGAAACACCGTTTTGCCTTCATTTGCAGCAGGTCCTGATGGGATCCTGAAGAACCCTTTTAACTCCCAAAGAGATTGCAAATCAGATGTTCTCCTACAGTTCCTGTATGCCTCCAGGGCAAAAAGGAACACTGAACAGCTTTGAAAGCTTATTTTACCCTCCAAGCAACAGGCAAAGTGATTAAAGCAGCTTGAACGTTTTTATTCAAAGTGTTTTTCAAACAAGAACTGCTTTGTCAAAAATATGTTTCAAATGGAAATATGTTTTGACATATACAGAAACCAGCACAACACTGTTCAAATTTATCTGCTTCATTTTGGTTTGTTTTGGTTTTGTTGTTGGTTTTTTGTTTAGTTTGTTTTTTTTTTTTCTTTTAATTCAGTTTTCCACAATAAAAGTGATGATAACGTGCAAAAGAAAACTTGAAGTCAGCTGTTGAACAATGTTTTCAAGACCAAGCAAAATGATAAAAAAAGTCTGGAAACAGACTGCTTACCAGTATGAATTCCCTAAGCTTCTGGTTTTATGTTTTCACCACTTGGTTTGGTTCTCCTTTTAACTGATCTGTTGATCTTTACAGCTACCTTATCAGTTATAACACTACATATTTGGCCCAGTGCACCTCTGTCAAAATTCTCCACGAATTAAGAAGCACATCATGGTCCATTTAGCTGCTTAAATTCTCAAAGTTGTGCTCCTACATTAAGATTTTGGTCTGTAGATCTTGCACCAGAAAACTCCAGATGTGAAAACGATGCAGGGTGAGATTTAGGACTCAGGACCCTTTGTGTCGTAGATAGGTGAAAACTGAGGTTCATTACAATAAAGAAATAAATCTATCACAGTAGCCCACAGAGGTCCCAGGCAAGCTGGGAGACCATCTGTGTGAGAATATCTGATGCTTTGGTATGAAACAGTGTCCAGGTGCTTGTCCACTGAACTCCTCCAGATGACCACTGAATTCGTGATAGGGAGGAAGCGGGTTTAGATGGTCCAGGCTTCGGTTTGAGAAGACCTGGTTGCAAATCCTGCTGCCACTGCAGATTTTCTATTTCAGATGAGGACGCCATCTGACATTTCTTTGCCTTAGGTCCCTGTTCATGGGAAAGTGATGTGGATAATGACATTAAACGTAGTTGGCTATGATAGCCCAGGGTATAGCAGGAGGAGGGGCATTTAAAGGAAGAAGGGATTAAGACTCTGTAATATAGTCTGACTAAAATTTGCAACTGTTTTTAGTCTAAGACTTCCCATGGTGGGGTTTCTTTGCCTGGAGTTTTTCATTATGTCAGTTCAGCCCTGGGATTTTCTGTGCTTAAGTACCATGAATAATTTAGAATTTCATACACTGCTGCAACATTTGTATCAGTCACATTTTCGCTCCACAGCACATAAGTGATTTTGGCAAAGTCTTACTGGGGGTGAAGCTGGGAACACATGAGGGAACTCCGGGCGAAATGGACGTGCACCAGTAACAAACACAGGATGCTTCCCACATCTAAGAGAAGAGCCCAAAGTCCTTTTCCCACCCAACACCAAGCCTAGCAGACAAGGATTTCAAAGCCATATAGTTGAGGAGAGATCATTCAAGGATGTGGCCACATACGTTTTTTTTTTAAACTCTGTTTATTATAACGACAAAAGATAAATGTAGAAACCACCACTCATAGTAACTAACGACTGCAGAATCTGTCAACATCTCTCCCATACAGGTAAGTCTCTCAGAGGTAACCACTTCTGCTGCAAGCCCTCAGGTGCATTGCCCAGTGTCTCCATTCACCCATGCTACCTGCATTCACTGCTAAAGTTATTTTTGAAGAGTTCCCCAACTGATCTTGTTGCAGAGGAGCAAAGAGTAGGAAATTCTGCTTCTGCAGTTGGCATAGAAATAGTGTCACTTTCCATCACTGAAACTACCCACTGAGCTTGACGCATTTTGGGATGGGAGAGGCTGCCTGCACTTGGAGAAGAATCAGCAAAGGACAAGACGGTGATGAGGGTATAGCGTTGAGTCTTGACCTTGGCCCTAAAATCCAATGGTCATCAAGGCTAAGCCTGCACAGCTGAAACAGGCTGGGAGAGATGCTTTCCATGGCAACAGCAGTGGAGCAATGGAAAGAACCAAGCTTGCTTGCACTTGGGATGCAGCTCTGTGTGATCCCTTGACCAGGATCTCGAGCGAAGACTGTCCTACCTACCTTGGGGCAAATGACCTAAGGCTCAGCCTTCTTTCCTATTTCTTCCGTGGGATTCTGACATTGTTTTGGACCAAAAAAAGGTCTAGAAGTCATATTTTTGAGGCTGTTTTTCCAGTTGGCTAGGATAAAAGCTGTGTACTGCTTTTGTCAGTATGCACACATAGAAACAGCTCTAATATCTGACATGAAGTCGCTTGAGTTATGAGTGGGCAGAAGTATTTCAGACAGTTCTTGGGAAAGTCAGAAACAGATTAACATTTTACAGCCCTAAACCTGATGGGTTTGCTCTCAAACTTTCAGAAATTAATTCTGTTCTTGGCCTCTAGTGCTCCCATGACATTTTGGGCCCAGGAGATTTGCTTGCACCAATTCAGAGAGGAGTGAAAACTCAAGATTAAAAAAGAGAACTGATTTCACCTTTAAATTGCACAGTTCTGACCAGCAGCTCCATAAATATGCTTCTGAGCTCAGCGCTAAAACCTCTTGACAGCAAATCACAGGATGCAAGCATGTCTCTCATGTATCCTGGGCTCTATTTCTTGTGTTTTACATTTATTCACTACATCTCATTGCCCTTTCCAAGAAATGTAAGTGAAAAAACAGAACCTCAGCTAGCACAAATTGTCAGCTTAAACCCGCTTAGCATCTGGCCTGAAGAACTTCCGACATTTGCAATTTTACATATCTGAACAAACTTTAAGAGAAAAATATGAGCACAGTGAAATAAGGCAGTGGTGTTGGGCTTCGCTGTTAGGGTTCAGTTCTTTACAGTTTTATCTGGAGTACCACTTTATTACAGCAGTAGAGCAAGTTGTCATTCAACTGGGTTCAGCAGAGACCATAACCAAGCCCTAAGAGAGCATCACCTCTAGTAAAGTAACCAGAACCAGAGCCTGAGCCCATGACTACCCATGCTGTTATACTGTTAACATGATCCCTAACAGTTTCACGCCACCCTCAAATAGTTCCCAGGAGTGGTCCAGGGCTGAGCCCAGACCAGGGTTTGGTCCCAAAAGCTTAGGCTTGTACACTGTCTCTCAGAGGATGCAAACACTTACGGAATACTTGCAGGTCAATTTATGTCAGTTGGCCTCAAGGCTAGAGAACAGGGACCAGACCCTTTTTTTTTATTAATATGGATGTTGACTAAAGAACTAATGGCCTTATTCAAGCTACCTTCTGTTTATGCACACCCACTGCTGTTAATAACAGCTTCCTGAGGATAAAAACAGAGTAGAACCAAGTCTTGTGGCTGGATTTACAGGACAGCATAAGAATTGACCACAGGTGACTAATTAAAGCAACATTTACTCAAGAACTCGCAAAATGTTTCTGCACAACTTGCAGATATACCATTTGCAAGCTGGTTTGCTTTTTGCTGTACGTGATCTATTGTTTTAATGAATGGAGGCATGTGTACATTTTTTTTTTTTTCCTATTTTTATGTTATCAGGAGACCCGTGCTGTTTTCCAAGACTTTTGAAATTAGTCCAAATGATTCCTGATGTCTACTTTGCTTATTTTGACTGTAAGCTCTCTGATGCAAAGATCGTCTTTTCCCACATGTATTTATTTCTTGGAAGGATCAAAAATGCATTACCAGGACAAGGGGTTCTCCAGTTAGCTTGGAAGTCTATTCATGCCACAATAATAATACTCAGAAGCCAGACCTTGTTTTACAAATAGTCAGGACACTCTGGGACACAAGGAGTCAGTTGTTGGAACATGTATACCTTGTTTTGCAACTTCTCTTAAGAAACAAAGCTTTCTGTCTGGACACACACGGAGCTGTATTTTCCTTGCCACCACCATTGATAACAGTGGTAGTCTGCAGGCAATATCCTTCTTGTTATGCATCTGATGAGGTAGAAATTCCTCTAGGCTCCACCTAATCAAATGCAAGTGCTGCATTATTTATGAAAGAAAGCTGAATTTCATTAAACTTTTTCTACAAGAAGCAGTTCATGTAAAAAAATAAATTTCTCCTCTTTCTTAGAAATAAGAATAATTTTCTTCCAAAACCTACATTCACAGGTAATTATAACAGAAGTCTTGAAATGGCAAAATTACTTTAAAAAAAACCCCTAACCTATAAAAGTATATTTTTAATCAGACTGGGATTTCATTTCTAAAGAGAAGGCAAGTGGGATGTTTCCCTGTTGCAGAATGAATAATTCAAATGATTCCTCCAGTGCTGTATCTGCAATTGTCAGAATAAATTTAAGCAGCTTTCCCTTTAACTATTACAGGTATACACTGCACAAGAACTCCTGTTAGTAATTATCCCCACTTCTTTTAGGCTAGCAAAATTCCCTCTCATACCACTGAACAAAAGCCTTACTGACTTGCACAGTCAAGAGATTTCCAGTTTCACAAGAAGATACCAGGCACAAAACATATATAGTCATCAAAATGCTGATGAGCATTTTTTTTGCTTTCCAATGTAACGTTGTTATTACCTGAAAAATTAGTTAAGAAGAAAAATTGAAAGGTTTTGTTTGGCAACATATCTGAACTACGAAACAATTCCAGAAAAGAAGAGAAAGGGAGGGAATTTGTTGTCATGACTACAACCTATAATCCACCAAGAATTTTAATTCTTTTAATTCAGATCAAGGGAGACCACTTAAACTACTGGCAAGCTCTGCTCGCAGTCCTGCTTTTAAACGGCCCTTGGGCTGGTGCCAG